TCCTTCCTTCCTTCCTTCCTTCCTTCCTTCCTTTCTTTCTTTCTTTCTTTCTTTCTTTCTTTCTTTCTTTCTTTCTTTCTTTCTTTCTTTCTTTCTTTCTTTCTTTCTTTCTTTCGGTAAAGAGTGGATACAGTATCTAATTTTTAACAGTAGCCTGCTCTGGCATTCTCTACTCAGAACACTATGGGGGAGAGAAAATATCTGCATTTTTCAAATTTCCTTTAGAGGCTGGATATAATAACTGCCACGAATGCCTACCCTTCTGATTTACTGCCACACCGCTAATTACTTCCCTCACACTCTGTTCGGGGTGTTGGGAGTGTTTTCCCCTCATGCCTACAGACTCAAAGTTCTGTGCTGTGCATCGTCATTTGGCCAGGTTTTGGATGAAATCACTGCCTTGTTGACATCTCAAAGAACTGAATTGCTAAGAGACTGTATATTGCGCGCTGTTGTCTGTTTGATCACCAGGCTTCTCTCTCCTTCCCACCACCACAAGCTCTTCACTTTAAGAATCTTGCTCTGAGGTTCTTAAATAAGAGGATTACTCACACCTGTCAAGCTGTTGCCATCCTCCCACATCTTGCGCTTCCGTGAAAATTGCCGTTATACGTGATCAGTCTTTTATTGCAATTATCTAATGGAAGCTTTTTTTAAAAGAATCTCCTTTTTTGAACACAGTGAGTTGAGCAGAGATGTCCAGCGCTCCATCTTGCCCGGTAACCCTTGACTCCTTTCAGCCTGTCACGCCTGATTCTGTGGCCAGAATACGGGTTGCCGTGAGTTGGGAGCGACTTGATGGTGTGTCACCACAACAAAAGAACATTCGGACATACACTAGCTCTATGGGTTGGAAACGGAGATGAGCACTGCCGCCTAGAGTCGGACACGACTGGACAAATTGTCAAGGGGAACCTTTACCTTTTATATATACTGTATATATTACGAACATCCTGAAAAATCCTACTAGGTCTTATTTTCAGGTTAGGTCTTATTTTTGGGGAAACGGAGTAGAGGGTGGGCATCTCATTTTGTCAAAGCACCAAGGGGGAAAAAGTTTGGCTCCTTGCACGGCTTCGGCAAAATGGGATCTTGAAACCGAGTCATAAACCGAACCACGTTACCAGCCCAGTTCGTCCGTTTTTCAGGTTTGTGGTTCAGTTCATGCTCATCTCGACTTCAGATGCATCTGAAAAAAATTGTCTGCCTCCACAAAAGCTGGTGGCAAATAAAAGATGCTAGACTGTAAACTGCATTTTTAAATTTTGGCACAACCTGCTACAGGCCTACATTTCTGGAAATTCTAGCATTCTACATTTGACTTGTCCTGACTTCAGGAATTGAGATTTTACATAAGGTTGTTTGGGGGGGAGAGGGAGGGGGTGTCTTTTGTTTATTTATTTAATGAATACTGAGAAGTCTGTAGATGCCCTGGGCATTTCATGGACATGGAAATGGTAGGATCCAGTTTAGATTGTCTGGACACAACCTTTGTAGCTTTGAACAAACGTTTAGACTCACTGGCAGAGCAGTGCTGGCTCCGTGGCATTCTTCTTTGCATGCCGACTTCTCTCCTCCTCCTCCTTTAAGGAAGCCCAAGTGTCTTGCTCCCTGACAAGAGCTTAGGAAAATTTTGAGCACCAGCCTCCTCCTCCTCCAACATTGAGATGTGTGTCAAATGTTGCACAAAGCCTGCTGTTCGAGAAAGCCCTGAGCGTCTTCAGAAGGATTTCTACTGCCCTCCAGTCTGAGTAAATGGTGTTTATTCATCACCTTATTAACAATAAACATCTAGAGTGGCAAAATCTGAAGGAGGAAGAGAAACTGCGTGGCCTGAAGGGTATTAGTGTAGCCGAGAGACTGTTGTTTATGGGTCCCCCGCCCCCTTTTCTTGCTAAAAGATAATCTTCAGGCACTTTGTACTTCCACTTTTTATTGATGGCGCTGCTGTGGTTCTTGTCTCTCCCTCCTTATCTCTCTTTTGCAGACAGTACAAAGCCCAGTGGGAAAAGGGTAGTTGGGGACGTGGCTTATAGCGCAGCAAAGGAGAGAGCAGCTTTTATCACCCCGGTGCCTGGTGGCGTTGGACCAATGACAGTCGCCATGCTGATGCAGGTTGGTATGTTGTTTATGGAAGGCAGGGGGAGAAAAACCCCATTTAACATCCGTGAAAGAGTTAAAGTAATAAACATGTAAAGGAAGGCATGTTCTCAGTCCTAGTTAACGATGTATATATAGAACTAAATTGGAAGAGGGAGGGACGATCTTTGTTCCTCAACCCATGACTGAGAATTTCAGGGGTCTTGATCATGTGAAGATGCTCCACAGCAGCAAAGCAAAATTAAGAAATCAAGGATAATACAGCTCAACCTATTGACAGGACAAGGTTAAGAACAAACTAAGTGAAGCCGAAGCAAGAAAAAGAGTTGACCCTTTCAAAAGCCCATCAAAGCAACTGGGGCTTAGCAAGGCGTTTCTGAAAGGAAATCAGACTGGTCTTCCTAGAGAAGAATCCCAGTGCAATTGGTGTCACCACGGAAAAGGCCCTGCTCCTTATGCTCATCAACCCAACTTCAGAATCGGTCAATTCTGTAAATTTGCAAATATACTGTATTTCGAAAACTCTGTCTTTTGGGAGTGGGGATCATGGGAGACTGCGAGGTATGTGTCAGGCCGTGAGACAAAACAGTATAGAAGTGGTTGTTCTGGGTTTTTCGGGCTCTTTGGCCATGTTCTGAAGGTTGTTCTTCCTGACGTTCTCTGTGTCCGGCATCTTCAGAGGATAGCAGCCTGTGCTCAGGCTGTCCTCTGAAGATGCCGGCCACAGAGACTGGTGAAACGTCAGGAAGAACAACCTTCAGAACACGGCCAAAGAGCCCGAAAAACCCACAACAACCATTAGATCCCGGCCATGAAAGCCTTCACGAATAGAAAGTATAGAAGTGTATTGACTAATTTATTGGGCCATGTTCTGTATTATCTGTTTAGAGCACAGTGGAAAGCGCTCAACGTTTTCTAGAGAAATATCAGCCTGGCAAGTGGAATATTCAGTATAACCAGCTCAGCCCTAGAACTCCTGTTCCAACGTAAGTAACAAGTAGTCCGGAAAGAATGTGGCTTGAAATCTAGTGTTAAAAATAACTCTGCCCTGATTTTTTGCTTTACTTTATCAGAGTGTATGTCTTCAAGGCACAAATACGGTCACACTGTTTTGAAATCTTGTGTCGCTAAGTTAATTCTGACTTACGGCAACCCTTTACAGGTTTTCAAGGTAGGCCCCTTCTTCTTGGGGCATCCTGGGACTGTGCAGCTTGCCCAAGGCCACACAGGCTAGCTTTTCCCTTATGAAGCACAGCGGGGAACCAAACTCCCAACCTCTGGCTCCACAGCCAGATAACGACTGAGTTCTCCAGCCATCAGAGAAAGCAGGATATTCATTTACATCCTGTGGTTTATGGTGGCAGAACTATGATGCAAATCATGCCCCAGTGGGAGCAGTCACAAGCCTAAGGAATTCTGGCCTTTCATGACGAATCAGAATTGTGACATGTCATGGTGACTGAATGGGCCCATCACAAAGATTATTTTTGAAACAAATGAATTTTCTAAAAAATTTATACTTTTAAAAAAGAAGCTATAAGAATGTATATATTATAGTTTTTAATTTTAATCAATTTGTTTTAAAGAATTTGTTTGTTTGTTTGTTTGTTTGTTTTTATATGTTGCCTTTTTGTTGTTTATTCGTTAAGTTGTGTCCGACTCTTCATGACCCCATGGACCAGAGCACGCCAGGCCCTCCTGTCTTCCATTGCCTCCTGGAGTTGGGTCAAATTCATGTTGGTCGCTTCGATGACACTATCCAACCATCTCATCCTCTGTTGTCCCCTTCTCCTCTTGCCTTCACACTTTCCCAACATCAGGGTCTTTTCCAGGGAGTCTTCTCTTCTCATGAGGTGGCCCAGGTATTGGAGCCTCAGCTTCAGGATCTGTCCTTCCAGGGAGCACTCAGGGTTGATTTCCTTCAGAACGGATAGGTTTGTTCTCCTTGCAGTCCAGGGAACTCTCAAGAGTTTCCTCCAGCACCACAATTCAAAAGCATCAATTCTTTGGCAGTCAGCTTCTTGATGGTCCAGCTCTCACTTCCATACATTGCTACAGGAAAAACCATAGCATTGACTTTGCGGACCTTTTTCGGCAAGGTAATGTCTCTGCTTTTTAAATGCTGCCTAGATTTGTCATCACTTTCCTCCCAAGAAGTAGGCGTCTTTTAATTTCATGTCTGTTGTCACCACCTGCAGTGATCATGGAGTACAAGAAAGTAAAATCTGTCACTGCTTCCATATCTTCTCTTTCTATTTGCCAGGAGGTGATGGCCATGATCTTTGGGTTTTTTTTGATGTTGAGCTTCAGACCATTTTTGGCACTCACCTCTTTCATCCTCATTAAGAGGTTCCTTAATTCCTCCTCACTTTCTGCCATCAGAATGATATCATCTACATATCTGAGGTTGCTGATATTTCTTCTTGCAATCTTAATTCCAGTTTGGGATTCATCCAGTACAGCCTTTTGCGTGATGTATTCTGCATATAGGTTAAATAAGGATTGTATCCCATATACCGCTTTGTCATACTCCTTTCCCAATTTTGAACCAAGTAATTGTTCCATATCCAGTTCCAGTGTGTGCTCATAAGAGATTTGGTTTAGGTTGCACCTGATTAGCCCAGTGGTTTTTCCTACAGTACTTTCTTCAGTTTAAGCTTGAGTTTTGCTATAAGAAGCTGATGATCAGAGCCACCATCAGCTTCAGGTCTTGTTTTTGCTGATTGTATAGAGCTTCTCCATCTTTGGCTGCAGAGAACATAATCAATCTGATTTCGGTATTGCCCATCTGATGATGCCCATGTGTAGAGTCACCTCTTGTGTTGTTGGAAAAGAGTATTTGTGATGACCAGCTTGTTCTCTTGACAAAACTCTATTAGCCTTTGCCCTGCTTCCTTTTGAACTCCTAGGCTAAACTTACCTGTTGTCCCTTTTATCTCTTGACTACCTACTTTAGCATTCCAGTCCCCTATAATGAAAAGAACATCTTTCTTTGGTGTCAGTTCTAGAAGGTGTTGTAAGTCTTTGTAGAACTGGTCAATTTTGGCCTCTCCAGCATCGGTGGTTGGTGCATAAACTTGGATTACTGTGATGATGAAATGTCTGCCTTGGATTCGTATTGAAATCATACTCTCATTTTTGAGATTGTATCCCATTACAGCTTTTCCCACTCTTTTGTTGACTATGAGGGCTACTCCATTTCTTTTACAGGATTCTTCCCCACAGTAGTAGATATGGAAATCGTCTGAACTGAATTCGCCCATTCCCATCCATTTTAGTTCACTGACGCCCAGGATGTCAATGTTTATTCTTCCCATCTCCTGTTTGACCACATCCAGCTTACCAAGATTCATAGATCTTACATTCCAGGTTCCTATGCAGTATTTTTCTTTGCAGCTTTGGACTTTCCTTTCACTTTCAGGCCCGTCCACAGCTTTCGGCTTTGGCCCAACCACTTCATTAGCTCTGGAGCTACTTGTCCTCCGCTCTTCCTCAGTAGCATGTTGGACGCCTTCTGACCTGAAGAGGTCTTCTTCCAGCGTCGTATCTTTTAGCCTTTTGTTTCTGTCCATGGAGTTTTCTTGGTAAAGATACTGGAATGGCTTGCCAGCTCCTGCTCCAGGGGGATCGCGTTTAGTCGGAACTCTCCACTATGTCCTGTCCATCTTGGGTGTCCCTGCACGGCATAGCCCATAGCTTCTATGAGTTACTCAAGCCCCTTCACCACGACAAGACAGCAGTCTGTGAAGGGGGATATGCTGCCTCAAGTCACCACAAGGCAGGATAAAAATCAAAATAAATGAAGAAACAAACAAAGAAAGAAATAAAATCTTTCCTGCAAGCTTGAAAATCAAACAATAGCACATTGGGTGAGAGGGTTAGGTGCTCCCCCTCTTTCTTTATCCTAGTTTTCCATTTATTGGGAGCTCTCCAGGTGCAGATGCCTCCCTTCTTCCCCCATTTTTCTTGCTCAGCGTGTACAACCAGGCCTCGGTCTTCGCTCTGGGAATTCTGTTTTCCACACAGCTGAATATGGTTAAAGAATGCAAAGTCTTTACCTCGCGAGGCATAGAAAACATGTCATTCTTTAGTAAGGCTGTCTTCACTATCTACACTTTATTATTTATTTATTTATTTTGGTTTTCAGCGACATTGAGATCTCTCGGTCTTGTGTTCCCAAGCCCATTGGTCAGCTGGCGCGAGAAATTGGCTTGTTGTCGGATGAAGTGGAGTTCTTTGGCGAATGCAAGGCCAAAATTTCACTGTCAGCATTGAGGCGCCTCAGAGACCAACCCAATGGCAAATACGTTGTGGTCACAGGGTAGGTTGTCTGGCTAGTTTACGATTGAATAGCTTTTTGATTGGACAGTTTGCCAGTAAAACTTTGTTTACAGAAGCATTTAATGCCTCACTTTTCCATTTAAAAGCAATTGCCCAAGGCAGTCAATAGTGAATAATTAAAAATATAGCACCTCTGGAGGCAATACATACCAATAAATGGAGAAGGGGGAGGCGAGATTTAAACGTCCCTGTGAGAGAAGAGGAGAGCTGATTAAGACTAAAATGCATCAGGAAGAAACTAATTTCTTACTAACTTTGAATACACGCTTGTCAGAAAAGGAGATTTTTAAAAAAAATTGAACAAAAGGAAAGTACAGCAAGCATCAGGTAACATGATTCATAGACAGGGAGTTCCAAGGGTGAGCAAAGAACAGTCTTGCAAGTCAGAATTGCTCTCAGCCTCTTGGTGAAAAACAAAGAAAAGTTACATCCATGTACAGCCTTTCCCCTCCTGCAGCAGAAATTATATTGCTTGGTGATAGAATGTCTTGCCATGCAGAAGGTTCTGGGTTTAACCCTTGCATATTCCAGGGAAGGCTGGGAGTGATTCCTGCCTGAGCCCCCCAAGAGGTGACAGCCAACTGATCTTGGCAGTGGGCAATTTCCTGTCATGTGGGGGCTGCCCCTGCCAATTTATTTTCCTGGCTTCAAAATAGCCAGTCGTTATCATCTGCTCACCTAGGGGAGCAAACTTAAAGCCAGAACTTAAAACAGGTTTGGAGAAGTGGAATAGCGCAACATTGCCAACTCTACTCATAGGAGGTGCACTGGGGAATCGAACTCCCAGCCTCTGGTTCTGCAACCAGATACCTAAACTACTGAGCTATCCAGCTATTCCTTGAGTATCTGTGCTTGGGGTATCGTGTTAGAAGATGCCTTATTTATAGCCCAGTTGCTTTGTATTAAGGAGATGGAGGTCCTCCAAAATCTATACTTTTTTCCTTTTCCTTTTTTACAAATTTGAAGCATAACACCCACACCCCTTGGAGAGGGGAAGAGTACCACAACAGTAGGACTTGTTCAAGCCCTGGGTATTCCTTGAGTATCTGTGCATGGGGTATCATGTTAGAAGATGCCTTATTTATAGCCCAGTTGCTTTGTATTAAGGAGATGGAGGTCCTCCAAAATCTATACTTTTTTCCTTTTCCTTTTTTACAAATTTGAAGCATAACACCCACACCCCTTGGAGAGGGGAAGAGTACCACAACAGTAGGACTTGTTCAAGCCCTGGGAGCCTACCTTGGCCAGAATGCATTTGCCTGCGTTCGGCAGCCTTCCCAAGGACCTACGTTTGGAATTAAAGGTATGGAATAAAAAGTCCTCCTGCCAGGGGGAACGACTGTGGCTTGGGAGTAGAGCATAACATTTTGCCTGTAGATGTCTCTGTTTCAGTGTCCGGCAACACCATTTAAAAGGTCCAGAGACCAGGAGGACAGAATAAGCCACTATGGACTAAAATCAGTGGTTCCCTGTCTTAAGTCCCCAGATATTCTTGGACTACAACTCCCAGAAATCCTGGCTGGCACAGCTAGCCGTGAAGGTTTCTGGGAGCTTGAGTCCAAGGACCTCTGAGGACCTAAGGTTGGGAACCATTTGACTAGATTTAAAAAATGGTTTTCCGTGGTGTGATCCAGTTCTTAATTCCTATATCCCAGTGTCAGGAAAGGATCCAGGAAGCTTCTTCTGCTGACAGGACGTTTTTCTTCAGTGGGGCTCCCTGGGGTGGGGTTGAGGAAGATCGCTCTCATCCCTGGAGCAAATTTTTGGGAGCATAAAGGACTGGTGGGAGAGGGGGATGATAGGCTCCTCGTGCTAGCTCAGGAGTGTTAGCACAACATTGGATTTTGGCTGGGGTGAGCAGCTTGACAAGCTAGGGAGTCAGACTGGAGATGCGGAAATGGCTCCAAATAGCAAAGAATTACCGTATTTTTCGCTCCATAAACAGCTTGGCAAGCTGGGGAGTCAGACTGGAGATGCAAAAATGGCTCCAAATAGCAAAGAATTAAATTTAATGGAAATTCTTGTCAAGGGAAGTTGTTAGGGTTTTGTGCAACACCCTCAATGCTAAAACTATTGTTTCTGGAGGCCTCCAGAAAAAACAACAACCAATAATACATTAGGGGGGTGAAATCTCATTAGGCTTTAGTTCATTACAGTTGGAATAATGGAATAGTCAATTTTTTTCCTGAATTGCACCAGGACTGGGGCCCAGCTTCGTGGCCTTGGGGAACTAATGGACCGAAGAGTTGGGTTTAGTTTCAATGGTTCCCTGATACCTTCTGTTTCCATGTATAGGTAGCGCTTAATTTCTGTTCTTATGGAAAAACGTTCACCCAGGTCCCCTCTGATCATGCAGCAGGAAGCAGTTTTGCCCTTTTAATTTTGCTGATTTCTGGCAGCCGTTACCGAGGGAGTCGTACAAGTTAAACAGACATGGGCAGGTTAAAGTATATATACACACCATTGGAAAAAAAAGCACGATCGCAGAAAAAAAAAATAGCACCGTCGCAGAATTCTGGGAAGACAGTTCCACCTATTAGTCACAGTTTAGCTTAAAGTTTTCGTATCATATAGTATCACTTGTGCAGATATGGAAAAATATGTCATCTGCTTTCTTCAGTGTTAATAGAATACGGGAAATTTTCGAGGGAAATCTTAGAGTGTGGATGATCCCCATTAAGGAAGGCTGGTTTATTTTAAAGTGTTGAACTGCTAAGGATTCTCAGTGCAGAGCTTAGAACACTCCCTAGGGAACGGTGAGACAACCCAAGCTTTCTCACAAGAAGATAGAAAACATCCTTTACATTTACTGTTGCTTTATAGGTGGTGCTGCTGGAGGTGGCTATTCTCAAGTGATTCCTATGGAAGAGGTAATGCTATCCCTAAACCAGATGCAATTCCTGCTGTGTAAAAGATTGATCCTGAGTGCTTCTGTTCCATGCACTGGCCTCTTGTTCCAAAATAATCTCTTGTTCCTTGACCTCGCATTCTACATACGTCGCACAGGCTTACAGTTCCCTTTGTGACCGGCCAGCCATGGCTGTGAGTTGTAGTGTAGCAATATGTGGATGGTGTCAGGTTGGAAGGAAGCTGTTCCAGAATACCAGAATCTCATTCTACAGTGCATGGAGCCTCTGTGCTCTGCTTGTGCCCAGTAGCTCCCCGTTTTTATATGCATACCGTCAGGGATGGGCAAACCCATCCAATTTCTGTATGTCCATTTCTCATGTATTTAATTGTAAGTCCATTGGCCTCATTTATTTTTGCAAGCAGTTTCCCCTACTCTTTTAATTTTTGCATGCCACTTTTGAGCCCAGAACAGTGCCGCAAGAATGCAGGAAGGGTGCCGTCTGAAGCAGAACGGTCTTCCAGTTTGCATATTAATTTGGGACAGAAATTGGAAAAGAGGCCAGGGCAAAGCCGATGGGGAGAAGAGTGAGTTCTTACCAGTTGGGACATTTTCTCTAGCAAGCCTCTACAGCCCACCTCGTTCTGTTATGCCTGCTACATCATTGTACTTTCATTCATGCAAAGCACAGCACAAGATTGTGCACCTTCCACTTCAGAGCAAGGAGCAAGTAACATATTCCAAGAGAATAGTTTCCATGCGTGCAACAGGTTCCTGGGTTTTAAATAGCTTTTTGATTGGTCTGCTCGCCAGTTGAAGGTTACAGCGCAAAACGTCTGCAGCCGATACACATTGCCACATCTCTGTCCTCGGTGGACGTTTGGTCCGATTCATCAGATCGCTTGTTGCAATGGTTACCTTGTCAGACAGCTCATGCATTTGAAAGCAAGCTCTTAAACTGGAGAGAGGTTGGAGTGGGAGAGGAAGGGTTTTTTTTTGTGTGTGTGAAGCTTGTTTTCCAGGAAGTTTTGCTAAAGGATGTCCGTGCAAGGGGTCTTTCAGACAAAGTGCTTGTCTCTCACATATCACAAATCAATTTTCTATCTTCAGGAACCCTACACTTTGTATATTTCTCTGTGCTTCTAAGTCATGTTCTGAGACCAAGGTTCCCCCCCCCCAAGATGTGTGCCTGCACACAAGACTCTTCCCCGCTCCATTTAGGGCTTTTCCTCCTCCTCCTCCATGCACCCGTTATGACCGTTTTCAGACCCTTTGGCCCCGGTCAAGTTACATACACCAGGGGCAGAGCCCTGCTCAGCGGGACTGAAATTTAGAGGGTTCGTTGTCTGGTACTTTAAAAACATTGGCCAGAGGGACTGCAGTGATGGTTGAGATGTTCCCAGCTCCACTACCTTTTCTCTCTCTCTTGTCTGCAGTTTAATCTGCATCTTACCGGTGACTTCCATGCTATTACGGCAGCCAATAATCTGGTGGCTGCTGCCATCGATGCCCGGATTTTCCACGAGGCAACACAGACTGATCAGGTAACACAACGCAGCTCCTCACCCACCCCTGGATGGGTCTTTACGCATCGGGAATTTAACTGAGACGCGTTGGGTCCCCTGCAGCTGCTAACTCTGTCTCTTGCTATTTAAGGCTCTTTATTCTCGCTTGGTCCCTTCAGTCGATGGCACCAGGAAGTTTTCTGACGTCCAGATTCAGAGGTTGCAGGTGAGTTTGCAGCTGCTTTCCTGCGGCCATTCTTTCAAGGACTGTAGGCACGAAGCTGTGCCTCATGCCCCACTTGTCTGTTCTGAATTCTGTTCAAACTACAGAATTTGGTATATGCTACTAGTCTCCCAGTCATACATTCTGTAATGTATGTCAGCAGGTTCAAAATCCTTTTCTATCAGTCAGGTTTTAAAGAAATAGGCCAGGGAAGAAACAGGGTAGGAAACAAACGTTTGTTGGCCCTTTTGCATGTCAAATTCCATTTAAAAAAACTGCCATTTATCTTATTTTTCTGTGTATAAGACGCCCCCATGTATAAGACACCCCCCACTTTTCTAATCCAAAATTAAGAAATCTGAGTGGGGCTTAGCACGTGTAGGGGGAAAGGGATAAAAGTGCTGCAGAATCGCTTTGATCCCTGCTTTCCCCTCCACTTTTTTTTGTTCTCTCCGCAGCTTACTTCCGTGTATAAGACGGCCCTCAATTTTTAGTTTAAAGATTTTAGACAAAAATATAGTCTTATACACGGAAAAATACGTGACAGGTCTCAAAGTCAACCAAGGGAATTGTTCATCGCAATTCAGTATATAAGTTGTTACAGGATCAGATTTAGTCAAGCAACATGTAACAAAGGAACACAGCTGAGTTAATTGAGGCAGCTGTGTGACAACCAAGTTGATTGGTTCATCCAAGAATAAAGCTAGCCAAGCTTGCAGAGACAAACTGTTGGGTAGTTTGGATAGTTTGGGTGGTTGGTTGGTTATTGTGTTGCTGGTGATCTTGTTGCTGAGAGCTGTATATACTGCATCGTTGGATGAAGACTTGCCATATTGCAAGGAGAAGATCCTGGGAGAAGACTATCTCTGTGGTGAGAGGAGAAGACTTCATGGATGCAGGACTCTTTATATTGGTAACAATATTTGGTTACTGAAACTGTAATTTTACCTTTGCTAACTGAAGAACTACTGTGAATGACCAGGACTGTATAAAGACCAAGAGAAGCTGTATTTACCCTGTATATATGGACTTTAATGTAAATAATACTTTCAACACTACAACAGTGTCTGTTTGGTTTCATCTCTGGGCAGTTCACTTCACCATTACGCCCCCTGGCGTAGTCTGGTAACGCAGCACCTCTGTCAATACGGTACTTCACGGGAGGCATTAAAATACTTCAGGGCTGGTTAAAGACAGTTTGCTGCCCAGTGTGAAGAACAAGATGGCTCCCTTTGACTTCCACTTGTGCACAAGTCATGCTGACTGACATTTGAATCTTGTTTCAGTCACAGTGGTGGGATTTTATTCTCCGTTGTGCCCAAAAGCAAAAAAACTAGCTTAGGGGGCATGAGGCAAAGCATATGGTTAACTTCTCCCGCTGTCCACACCTGCCACCTCCCAGCGTTTGCTGCCTGAAGTGATGGCTTCAGTTAGCCTAATTGTAGGGCCAGCCCTTCTGACAGTTCCTAGCAGGTTTCAGATTCAGCCTATTCGTTTATCATTTATTTATTTAAACAATTTTTAACCCATCTTCTCCTCAGAAATAACCCTACATCATTAAAAGGCAATATTTTAAAACTAAACATCGTTCTCTTCCTTTATTTTGCTTCTATAATGATTATTTCAAATAATGAACTTCCTTAAAGACTTGTTTCTTGCAACGGCCTGTGTTCTTATTTCTCTCCCTTCCTCCTCAGAGACTAAATATTAAGGAAACTGACCCGGGGGCTTTGACGAATGATGAGATAAACAAATTTGTGAGATTGGATATTGATCCAGACAGCATAACATGGCAAAGAGGTAATGGAGAAATAAATAACCTGCAGAGTTGGAAATGAGAAATTGTTGAGGAGGGGTTCAAAGGAGGTTGTATTGGCATTTGTGTGGGACCATGGCTAGAAGTTTAGACAGAAGTAAAATTCTTACTAAGCCCTTTCCGGCCCACATTCTCTAAACTGCCATCTATCTACTTGCGGGTCAACATTTGGTTGGGTGACAAGAGGTAAGCTTTTGGAAGGGGACTTTTTGGTTGAGAAGCTGGTGGCTCTGAAGTTAGTGGAGAAGTGAGTCTGCTCCGGGTTTTAGCTTAAACTTTGAAAGGTTCATTTGAGTTACTGACGCAAAATTCCAGACAGCTCTTGATGGGCCGGTCCCCCTGGTCAAATCCCCTTTGGTCATCTAGGCTAATGGCCTAGATGGCCTCCGTCTCCTCACCATGAGCTTCACAAATTAATTTCTTACTGGGTAAAGACGAGCTTGCTTTTGGTTTATCCTGCCTCTATTTCTAAACAGTTTTGTTGAGTCACCTTGAGTGCTTGTATTACAGAAGAGGGTGGAAACCCTCCCCTTGTTCATCATAATTAATTCAGCATTGTTCATTGTTCACTCTAGCCGCCTAGAGTGGCCTTTTAGGCCAGATGGGCGGGGTATAAATCAAATAAATAAATAAATAAAATAAATTCATTGTTCTCTTCCATGTTCTGTTAATAATTTAAGCCTCCAGGTTAGGCTTGTACAAGAGGAAGACAGCTAACAAGGCTCTTTATTTGGCCAGGAGATCCACTCGTGTTTCCTCCCCCCCAGCCCTTTCCATTTTACATTTTAAAAAAGACAATGTTCACTCATACTTTCAAACTGTATTGATATTTTCTTTTATTTCTAGATGCTTTAAAAGCCCTGATTTATTGACCGTTTTGGAAGCTTTGCCTAGAGAGCCATATATTTTAGAAACTATGGATCTTTTTTCAATAAAGGGTGGTGGGTGGTCAGTCTCTGTGGGACCAAGAGCCATATTTCAGGTTTCTTAACAGACTATCAGGCAGGGTGAAAGGCAAGAGTATGGTTTAAAGCTAACTGACATTTTTGGTTTTTATAAAGTTTTTTTCAGTGTAGTGGGTAGGTGCTGTAAAAGTTGTTACAATGGAGGTTTGTTAGTTGAAAAATAAGTCTAAATTTTAGAACGCTTTCACGGCCGGGATCCAATGGTTTGAGGTTTGTTAGTTGAAAAATAAGTTTAAATTTTAGAAGGGAATGTATTCTCGAAGGCTTTCACGGTCGGGATCCAATGGTTATTATGGGTTTTCCGGGCTGTGGGTGATTGTGGTGTGTTTTTGTTGTGGGTATATAGTTGTGATAAGGGGGAGAGATGATCTATCACTGTGATTGATGGGTGTCGTTAGCTGGTCTTTTGTGTGCAGTGATCACTGGTCCTTGTCAACGAACTCTATCCAGCCACAAGGGTGGGTGGATAGAGTGCTTATCGCAACAAAATACCCACAACAAAAACATGCTGATCACCGTAATCACCCAATCTTCTGAAAAGGACAAAAGCTGATCCCACAGCTCTAAATACTCAACTATCCAACAAACTGCATCAGAGCACAGACAAGAGTTCTGACTCCTGTCCTCTGAAGATCCCGGCCACAGAGACTGGTGAAACGTTAGGAAGAAAAACCTTAAGAAAACCTACAACAACCTTCAGAAGGGAAGTTAATTGAAAGACTCTGCCCACCCTTTAGTGGTGCTACATTTCTTTCTTTTTTTTCAAATCCTTAAGAATAGTTGATGGTGTTGAGAAGTGAAGAGGGTGCTCTGGGACTGTGCAGCTTGCCCAAGGCTACACAGGCTAGCTCTTCTCCCAGGGGGTACAACAGGGAACTGAATTCCCAACCTCTGGCTCTGCAGCTGATACCTAAACCCAGGCAAGTGGGAATAAAATTCCAAAACATTTGGAGGTCCGCCTCTCCCCTGCTCCTGATTCGAACATTTAGAATTGACTGGAAAATTCAAAATTGGGTGGAAGTGCTAATACCCTGGAAGACAAACACAGTTCAAAATGATCTAGATAGGCTTGAGCCCCTGGGCTGAAAACAATTGAGCCCGGATAAGTGCAAAGTACTGCATCCAGGAAAAAGAAAACATTCTCTCCCTGCTTCTCTCTCCTGCAGTGATAGACACAAACGACAGGTTTCTGCGTAAGATTACCATCGGCCAGGCTCCGACTGAGAAGGGGTTAATGCGCACGGTTGGTATCTTTACTCTTTTCCTCCCTCTGAGACTTTTTTACCCTTTTGAAAAAACAGGAAGGCTTTACTCATTCTGCCGTAAAGTTTTTTAAGCCTTAAAACATTTGGTGGTTGTTCAAAAAAAGTCCCCTTGTTGGGGAGTAATTTGGCCATGTTCTATGGTTGGGAGCCCCCCTTTTCCAAAAAAAATTCAATATTTTAATTTTGAAAAATTCACTATAGGGGCCTTTTTAGTTTTTTTAAAAAAAAACACCTTTATTTTTGAGAAATCATATTTAGGGATTTGTGTGACGGCAAGTGAAGTCCAAATTCTTGAGGTGTCAGTACTTGTATTAATAGAAAATTCCTTTTGACCCTTTTCTCTTTCTCCTCATTCCTCAGGCGCAGTTTGATATCACGGTGGCCAGTGAGATCATGGCAGTCCTGGCTCTCACAACCAGTCTGGAGGACATGAGGCAGCGCCTGAGTAAAATGGTGGTCGCTTCCAGCAAAAAAGGTGTTCCCATTACTACTGAAGATCTGGTGCGTTGGCCCTAATCCTGATCTGAGGAATGAATGCTCTTGGTCTAAGATTATTGGCCATAGGTGCCTTGTGGTTCAGTTGCAGTACTGTGGCCAAAACTCCTCTCATGATCAGAGTGTGGCCAAAAAAAATGGCTGTGCCAATCCGCCTGTAATGTTTTGGCCCAAAGAAGCCCGAAGCCAGACACTGTCCTGTTAGCTGGTCAGGGAGGGCCCATATTATGGTATTGGGCAGATGGCCATTTAAGGTGGTCTGGAATGGATGGCAGTGCCAGTTTCATTAGCAGCCCAGTACTCCGCCACCGAAGGCACCCACTCTGCTCTGGCTAACAAACGGGCCGGCCCTGACACAACCCTGTTGCTTTCAGTTTGGTGATCTGTGGTCCACACCGCTGCCACCTGGAGATGGTGTAGAATGGTCTTCCCTCGGGGTTTCTCGCTCCACAGGTCCTGACAGGATTCTGGTTTCTGTATTTAATTAATTCTATATTACTTCACTGGATTGCTCCTTTAGGAAGTCTAAGAGTTCTGAATTGGCCAAAGCCAGCTAGGAGAAGCAAAACTGCGGGTTTTTAAAATCGGCTTCTGTTTGTCTATATTAGAATGCAAGAGTGATAGTGACCTGGTACGCTCATTTGCCTAAACTTCCTGAGATTAATTATGTGCCATCTCCCCAATGCAGGCGTGTGTTGACCATTGTGCATGCCTCTGCCCAGTTGCTGGCACACCCACCAGTGCCTGCGGGTTGCTAAGATTTGTGTGAAGAAATCAGAGTTGACTGGACATTGCATGATACAGAAAGACGTTACGGAAAGGATGATATTAAGGCGACATACTGAGAATTATTTAAAGCAATGATTCCCAACCATGGTTTCCTAGATGTTCTTGGAGTAAATCTCCCAGAAGCCTTCACCATGAGCGGTGCCAGCTAGGATTTCAGGGAGTTATCGTCCAAGAACATCTGGGGGGACCCAACGTTTGGAATCAGTGATTTAAAGCATACCTGGTCTGTGTTATATTTTAGAGATCCCAAATGTGCACTGTAACTTGGTGCATTTGAATGTCTTGGGTGGACCCCAAAGACTCTAGAGCAGACCTGGGCACAGTGCAGCCCTCCAGATGTTGCTGAACTGCAAATCCCAACACTCCTCACTATTGGCTGTGTGCTAGGATAATATGGGAGTTGCAGTTCAGCAACATCTGGAGGGCCACATTTTGCCCAGGTCTGCTCTAGAGCTGGGGCGAAGGACATGTAGCCCTCCAGATGTTGCTGGGGTGCATCTCCCACCAGCCTTAACCAGCAGGAACAGGGGCAAAGTGTGTTGGAAAAACTGCACAACTACAATATTTGGAGGACCAGATCTTTCTCAGCTTCTTTCTTGTTAGGGGTGGGTTGGTGGAAACACCCATGAATGAATGAAACTGGCTTGTTTCTAATTCCTGGTGGTGCAATTTGGAGTAATGAACGTGTGAAACAAACTGATCTCCAAATGTGATCTAGCAGGTGCCCAGCTGTATTTGCCATGGTGAGATCTGTTTCTATATAAAGTCTGGCAGATTGAAAAGTTGGTCAAGCTGGTGAAAAGTGGAATGATGGTTAGCTTATGGGTCTTGAAGTGTCGAAAACCTTAAGAAGTAGGCGAGAATGGACCACTCAGGTGACTCTTCCTATTGATTCTCTTAGGGAGTGAGCGGAGCCCTGGCGGTTTTGATGAAAGATGCTATTAAGCCAAACCTCATGCAGACCCTGGAGGTGAGCATGTATTCTAATACTTTCTCCTGAAAATCAGAACAGCGCCCAAAATATGATCTGTTTTCAATGTGCTCAAATGTTTTCACATTTTGTGTCCCCCTACCTGTTACCTAAAATTTTGAGAATCTCCGTTTGGAGTCCAGTAATTATGAGCACTACGAAAAAGCCGCTTATTGCAGTTGTTGCTGTAAACTGAATTCCTGTTGCTTAGCACAAGAAGATTTGTGACATTCAATCTGTTCCTAGCCAGAAAATAAAGAGAATTGCAGCAGGGGTTATCTCTTTGCCAGCTAGAAATGGACTGAATGTTGGGAGTTTTTGGAGTTGGAAGGTACCTTAAGAGTCATCGAGATCAGCTCCAGGCGGATGCAGGCTATCTGCAGCTGAAGCATCTTTGACAGAGGGCCATCCACCATCTGTTCAAAACTCTCCAATTATGTGGAGGTTGTTCCACTTCCTGACAGCCCTTACTCTCTGGATGTTCTTAATTTTTCTTAAGACTCAATAGAAACACCCTTTCTTATCCTTTGAGCCCATATCAGTTGTATACGCACGATGTTTCTTCCAACAAGGTGCTTCTCTGCATTCTGAAAGGCAGCTTTTGAAAACAAAAAGGGTCATTGTGCCATGAATGCTACGGAAGGGAGACCACTTCTAGCTTTCACTGGTTGCCTTCCCAGGAATCAGTGGTCTCTGCTCTCCTCTCCAATTAATTTTTTTTTCTCTTTAACAGAGCTGTATTTTTATCTCCTTCAAAATGTAAGGTTTTACAGCTCTCTGCATGTTTGAGTCCATTAAAACAAGTTCAGAGAAGGGCGACAAGGATGATCAGGGGCTGGAAACCAAGCCTTATGAGAAAAGGCTGAAAGAATTGGGCATGTTTAGCCTTGAGAAAAGAAGACAGAGGGCTGATATGATAGCACTTTTCCAATATTTGAAAGGCTGTCATACAGAGGAAGGGCAAGATCTGTTCTCTGTTATCCCAGAGCGAAGGACAAACAACAATGGGCTCAAGTTAAAGAAAGCCAGATTTCAGTTGAATATCAGGAAAAACTTCCTAACTGTTAGAGCAGTGCGACAGTAGAACCAGTTACCTTGGGAGTTGGTGAGTGCTCCAACACTGGAGGCATTCAAGAAAAACTTGGATAATCACCTGGCAGATATGCTTTGATGATATTCTGGCATTGAGCAGGGGGTTGGACTTGATGGTCTTGTAGCCCCCTTCCAACTTCATTTTTCTATGATTCTGTGAAAACATGCTCCCAAGTAAATGTATAGAGGTTTCTGCCATTTCAGATTGCAAAATGTCCACTTACCTGTCTTTGTGTTTCTGTTGTTGCTTTCCTCTCTCAGGGCAACCCAGTGTTCATCCATGCTGGTCCATTTGCCAACATCGCGCATGGGAACTCCTCCATCTTGGCAGACAAGATTGCCCTGAAGCTTGTAGGCAAGGAAGGCTTTGTTGGTAAGTCTTTTTTACATCGTGCTGTCTTCACAGGGTGCACTGCCACAAGATGGAGCAAAGGTTGCTGGCTTTAAGTCATTTCTTTTTTTAAAAATCCCTCCAGTTTGTCACTGTTGGGTTATTGTGCTTCTGTATCCATGATTGAAAAGGCCTGGAAATGACCTGATATGGGTGTCTAGTATCATGCGTGCATTGCTAGCTGGAAAAAGGATGGTAAGCTTTACAGGAAAAAAGGGCAGTCTGAATGTTGACAATCCAGTGGCAGCAGTCAAGATGGTCTACAGGATGCCCTCTTGTGCTCACTACTGTTTACAAAGTGGCACCAAGGAAGGGAAAAATCCCGGAAACTGACTTAAAAAAAAAAGAAACCAGTTAATCACTTCCCATGCAAACACAAAGTCAGGCAGTTTTTCAACAAATGTGACTGTCAGTGGTGTTAATTTTCCTCTAGTTGACCAAACCAACCAATTTATTCTTCTCCATTTGTTTTCTGTTTCTCTCCTGCCCTTTTTATTTGTTTCTGTTTCAGGGGGAGCAGCTAGAACAGCAAGACAGGGCAAACCTCAGTTCTGGGGTTCAGACATTAGCAAGAAACCATGGTTCAGATAAGTTGAATTTCATAAACCAAGAACAAACTATGGCTTCTTACTGTGGTTGGCAGCCGACTTAGCAAACCATGGTTTGTTTGCAAGAATGATTTGGACCCAAGAACAAGCTGGAATTAAGTAGATTAAAATCTGATGTGTGAACCCAGTTGATGTTAGATAACAGGTAGAAAAAAGGTCAGAATAGTAACAACAGTAACAGTAATAATCCTGTGGGTGAACTCTTTTCTTCTCTTTTATGTTTATAGTGACAGAAGCTGGTTTTGGAGCAGATATTGGCATGGAAAAATTCTTTAACGTCAAGTGTCGCTATTCTGGCCTGCAGCCCCACGTGGTGGTGCTGGTGGCCACCGTCCGAGCTCTGAAAATGCACGGTGGAGGGCCCATAGTGAGTACTGTCCCTGGTGATTAAAGATATTGGTTAAGTCAAAGCCCCAGCTCTTGAAGGATCATCCAGTCAAGCCCAGTTCTGTGCATGTTGTTACCTGTGTGACATGCCTGTCCGGTCTGCCCTTTAGAGATGAAGCTATGAGGTCTTCCTGGGTAGCTTTTCCTACTGCATGAGAGTTCATCCAAGTTCATCTCTCCTCAGCCCTCCAAATCTGTTCTGTTTCCCATCTTCCCCTTCCTCCATAATATTCTCTCCCCATACTTTGACACCCATCAAATTGCTGATTCTTTTTCTTAATGAACTTTTAAAAATTCCCTCTAGGTTATGTCTTCCTTAAAACTGAGAAAGTAGTTTCTCTCACTATGTAATCATGGTGATGGTCACTTTTATGAAGGGAAGTTGCTGTCAATTAGCATTGCATGTTCTGATCATTTTTCCCATCCCTTCCCTTGGTATATCATGCTGAATTGGGTGGAAGGAACAAGTAGGGTTCCCCAGGGCTCAGTCTTGAGCCCTGTGCTCTTCAACATTGTTATTAATTACCTGGATCAGGAGGAATGCTAATCAGATTTGCAGATGACATAGAAATGGGTGGAATAGCCAGTATCCTGGAAGACTGAAACAAAATTCAAGGTGATCTAAATCGGTGGTTCTTAACCTTGAGTTACACAGGTGTTTTTGGACTGTAACTCCCAGAAACCTTCACCACCAGCTGTGCTGGCTGGGGTTTCTGGGAGTTGCAGTTCAAAAACACCTGAGTAACCCAAGGTTAAGAACCACTGATCTAAATAGGCTTGAGCACTGGACTGAGAACAAGAGAATGAAATTCAGCGGGGATAAGTGCAAAGTACTTCACTGAGGGGAAAATACCAAACACACAGGTAGAAGATGGGATATATAATCTCCAGATCTTGCGAGGTACTTGTTCCCTCTATTCGGCACTGGTTAGGCCTCATCTTGCCCCTTCACGGATTGCTGCCTTATCATGGCGAAGGGGCTTGAGTAATTCAGAGAAACTATTGGCTATGCCATGCAGGGACACCCAAGACGGACAGGTCATAGTGGAGAGTTCTGACTAAACGTAGTAATCCAAGTTTATGCACCAGCCACCGATGCTAAAGAGGCTGAAATTGACCAGTTCTATGAAGACTTACAACACCTTCTAGAACTGACACCAAAGAAAGATGTTCTTCTCATTCTAGGGGACTGAAATGGTAAAGTAGGGAGTCAAAAGATTAAAGGAACAACAGGAAAGTTTGGCCTGGGAGTTCAAAAGGAAGCAGGGCAAAGGCTAATAGAGTTTTGTCAAGAGAACAAGCTGGTCGTCACAAACACTCTTTTCCAACAACACAAGAGGCGACTCTACACATGGGCATCACCAGACGGGCAATACCGAAATCAGATTGATTATACAGTATTCTCTGCAGCCAAAGATGGAGAAGCTCTATACAATCAGCAAAAATAAGACCTGGAGCTGATGGTGGCTCTGTTTAAAATTCAAGCTTAAACTGAATAAAGTAGGAAAACCCACTGGGCTAGTCAGGTATAATCTAAACCAAATCCCATATGAATACACAGTGGAAGTGAAGAATAGATAAAAGGAACTCGATTTGGTGGACAGAGTCCCTGAAGAACTATGGATGGAGGCCCGTAACATTGTACAGGAGGCAGCAACAAAAACCATCCCAAAGAAAAGGAAATGCAAGAAAGCAAAGTGGCTGTCCAATGAGGCCTTACAAATAGCAGAGAAGAGAAGAGAAACAAAATGCAAGGGAAATAGGGAAAATTATAGAAAACTCAATGCAGACTTCCAAAAAATAGCAAGGAGAGACAAGAGGGCCTTCTTAAATGAATAGTGCAAAGAAATAGAGGAAAATAATAGAAAGGGAAAAACAGAGATCTGTTCAAGAAAATTGCCTTGCACTTAGGGTGGGGTCATCATCTCTAGACATGAACATGAGATATGGAAATATTCTGAATATGGGTGAAATTTTCACTTTTTATCCTCAGCAACTAAATATAGAATAATAAAAACTTAGAATATCGACGTTGGAAGGCCTATAAGGCCATCAAGTCCAATCCCTTGTTCAATGCAGGAATATCTGCCATTTGGTTATCCAAGTTTCTCTTGAATGCCCCAGTGTTGGATCACTCACCACCTCTTGAGTTACATAATTGTTTCCACTGTTGTACTACTCTAACAGTTATGAAGTTTTTCTTGATATTTGAAAATGCTCCAACTACCGCACAATTGCACTAATTTCACACACTAGCAAGGTTATGCTCAAAATCCTCCAAGGTAGGCTTCAGCAGTATATGGATTGAGAACTCCCAGAAGTACAAGCTGGATTTTGAAGGGGCAAAGGAACCCGAGACCAAATTGCCAACGTGCACTGGATTATGGAGAAAGCCAGAGAATTACAGAAAAAACATCTACTTCTGCTTCATTGACTATGCAAAAGGCTTTGACTGTGTGGACCACAGCAAACTATGGCAAGTCCTAAAAGAAATGGGCGTGCCTGACCACCTTATCCATCTCCTGAGAAACCTATGTGTGGGACAGGAAGCAACAGTTAGAACTGGATATGGAAAAACGGATTGGTTCAAAATTGGGAAAGGAGTACGACAAGGCTGTATACTGTCCCCCAGCTTATTTAACTTATATGCAGAATACATCATGCGGAAGGCTGGACTGGAGGAATCCCAAGCCGGAATTAAGATTGCAGGAAGAAATATCAACCACCTCAGATGTGCAGATGACACCACTCTGATGGCGGAAAGTGAGGAGGAATTAAGGAACCTTGTAATGAGAGTGAAAGCAAAAAACGGTCTGAAGCTCAACATCAAAAAACCATCATTATGGGAAAGAAAAAGCTGAGAAGAAAATCTAGATATGCAACAGGAAGAGTTGAGTATCATGTGTGGAAGAAGGCTAGTGTTTATACTGTATGCTTTCTTGCAAGTATTTTCCTTTCATGAATTCAGTTTATATTGCTGGTGATGGCCTGACCAGTTTCCATGTTTAAAGAACACAGAAGAAACAGAAAGGACAGTAGCAAAACTCTCTTCCAGGAACTCAGCAATTCTAATCTGTGCACAAAATCCTTGGTTTTGCAGTCTAAGCAAGAGATTAATCTTTCCTCCTAAACCTGCTACATAGTCTGTTAAATATTTCTACGCCCTTGCTCAGCTTTGGTGCAAAGTAGCCCTGTTATCCTTCCTGCAGTCTCGAGTTCAAAAGCTAATACATTTCTGTTACCAGGCAGACAGTCGTTTTCCCCCGGAGGTGAAAGACAGGGCAGGAATGAAAGTGAAGAACTAATTGAATTTTCAGAAGCTCTGCTTTCTGCAATCTGCGTGCAATATATATTGCAGATTGCTTCTTGCTTCATTAATTCCACTTCCCTCTCTTTCAACCCTCACCGAAACAATTTTTTTTAGATGCAGGGGCTTGTGTTTTTCCTGAACAGGTTTTTCCTAAAGGCAGGTTAGCAACCCTTTTGAAATGAGGCAGACACGTTTGATTTTTTTTTAATTAGTGAGTGAAGCATAAATCCAACTGCTAATCCCAACTAGAGCAGACCTGTTGAATTAAGAGCATTTATATGAGCATTCACTCACCGTTCAGCAATTGGTTCGGAGGATTTCCTTTAGATGGGACAAGTAATTGGATTTATGCTTTAATTTTGCATGGGCCTTGTGGATGAACATTTACATCCAGAGATGGAAATTCCCTTTTTATGTTCTGAGTTCAAAGAGATCTGAATGCTTTGTAACAACTCTTTCTTCCTGCCTTTCTTTTTTCCCTGCTTTCTTTCTGCTGACTAGACAAAAGTGGCTATTTAGTGATGGGCAGAGTGTCCTTTGCTCAGTTTAAAAAGAGCTCAGATTAATGCGAGTCCCTTTTTTTAAAAAGACAGTAGATATTGGCATAGCCTGTTGTAGGGGGAGCCATAGGACTTATCCACCTTGCCTTGTTCACAGATTTTTTGGTGATACATATAAAGGTGCACAAATTTGTGTGTTTGAACTACAACTCCTAGAACAGTCAGTGGCCCTGATGCCTGGGAATTCTGGGAACTGTTGTCCCAAAAATGCAAATCTGCACTCCTCTTCTGGCTTCTCATTCCAGTGTATCTCCATTCTTGATCTCCAGACCAGAGATGGAGATGAACTGATTTCGGAGGTTTGTGCTGATTCCCTTATCCGTCCTCCCCAGCTGCATCCCTCACTTACCAGCCAATGTGCTCTCCTCTCTTCTTCCTTTTTGACTGTTTGATTAGTCTCTGGCAGGAGCATGGGCTTCCCTGCACCACCTCCTTTGCTGATCGCCCACTCCGACAAGGAGGCACGACAGGCCAGCCCATGTTCCTGCCGAGAAGGGGTCAAACCATCAAAAAGGAGAAGGAGAGGCGCTCACTCCAACTGGTGAATGGGTCATTGGGTGAGGAGGCGGTGGAAGGGAACACAGGGCACAAACCTCTGAATCGGGGTTCATGTCCATCTCTACTCCAGACTTTTTTCTAAAATGTAGTGGTGCATCCATAGAGGCCATAAACTGGTCTCTGTAGATATGCAAGAGTGAAACAATTGTTGCTTGCTTAATTACAGTTTAGAAGGGACGTGGTGGCTCTGCAGGCTAAACCAGCCACCCCCATGGACGCTGAAAACTTTCGATAATAGTGAATGTTATGCATAGCATGATAAAAGAAAAACATCCGGAAAAAATTATTGCACGGCATATTTACCGGAACTGGCCTCTAGAGGGAGCCATGATCCATGCTGTGTGTTCTTCAACAATACATAGCATGGACTCTGGCTGCCTCTAGTGGCCAGTTCTGGTAAGTACACCATGAAAATACTTTTTTCTAGCTTTTTAAAAACTTTTAATATTTTCAGACTGTGGATTAGTGAAACTACTGATACTGATCCCATGGATCAGGGAGTCCTACTGTATGTTACATGCCATGCTGTTTGACACTCAGACTTACACACTTGCTTAATAAAAAAAAGAAAGCAGGGGGGAATAAAACCAGTGTACAAATACACTGACATACATATAAAGAATGTAAACCCAAGATTCTTCGCATAGCATGATAAAAGAAAAACATCCAGAAAAAATTATTGCACGGCATATTTACTGTAACTGGCCTCTAGAGGGAGCCAGGATCCATGCTGTGTGTTCTTCAACAATACATAGCATGGACTCTGGCTGCCCCTAGTGGCCAGTTCTGGTAAGTACACCATGAAAATACTTTTTTCTAGCTTTTTAAAAACTTTTAATATTTTCAGACTGTGGATTAGTGAAACTACTGATACTGATCCCATGGATCAGGGAGTCCTACTGTATGTTACATGCCATGCTGTTTGACACTCAGACTTACACACTTGCTTAATAAAAAAAAGAAAGCAAGGGGGAATAAAACCAGATGTCCTAAATGTACAAATACACTGACATACATATAAAGAATGTAAACCCAAGATTCTACATACAGCCTGCACTGATGGTGATTTCTCAATAATGCCAATCATGTTATTACTTCCCATAAAGCAGTAATTCAGTTATGAGCCTGCTTTAGTCCAGTAGCAAAATATATTCCTGGAGTGCCATCAAAATCTTGGCTATAGAGCTTGCAACCTTCCAAAACCTTTTCCCATTGCGTAGGTTTCAGAGGTTCTGTAAGGGGTTATTCAGAATAAATTCCCATCCATTTCTTTTATAAATTTCCATCCTAGGGCTCTGTGTCTTAGTGCCTGACACAAGTTTAATTTCCTCCCCGCTGCACCTCAATCAACCTCCCTATAGTTTTCCTCAATAATGCCAATCATGTTATTACTCCCCATAAAGCAGTAATTCAGTTATGAGCCTGCCTTAGCCCAGTAACAAAATATATTCCTGGAGTGCCATCAAAATCTTGGCTATAGAGCTTGCAACCTTCCAAAACCTTTTCCCATTGCGTAGGTTTCAGAGGTTCTGTAAGGGGTTATTCAGAATAAATTCCCATCCATGTATTTTATAAATTTCCATCCTAGGGCTCTGTCTCTTAATGCCTGCCACAAGTTTAATTTCCTCCCCTTTTCCCGCTGCACCTCAACCAACCTCCCTATAGTTTTCCCCCATCTGAAATGTGTCAAACTGTGTGGCTGGAAAGAAATAAGTCCTTTAATTTGCAGGGTTTTTTTGGAAAGGGAAAATGGAGCACAAAGGCGAGTGTTTCTTACCTTTTAATACCCTGCTTTTTCTGTTTGCAGGTCACCGCTGGAGTTCCCTTACCAAAAGAATACGTTGAAGAGGTAACTGTGGCCTATTTGCTATACCCTGATTTCTTATAAGGTACTGCTGAGCCAGGCAGGTGCTTCTTTTTGCCCTGAAGTGGGATCAGATACAATAATTCTGGTGGATCACGGGTGGTCAGATCATCTTGAGCACCTGCATGTCAGAAGACAAGAGTGGACCATCATTGTGCTGTTTTAAATACAGTGTGTATGTGTTTATTTCTGTATCTGCCATGACAAGAGGTTTGTCTCTTCCCTTTAGCATGATGCTGGATAACTTAGTGGCTTAGGCAGAGGTTGGGAGGTTGATTCCCCACTATGGCTCCTTGACAAGGGCTGGACTTGACAATCCATAGGGTCCCTTCCAGTTCTGCAGTTCTAAGATGATGATCATCATCATTCTGCCATCACAGAATCACCTCCTTTCAGCTTAAACGGAGTATAAAAATCCAGACCAGAAAGTAGTACAGAAAGCATAAAAAGTACAGATGTTCAGTGTGTGGTCTCTTCGGCCACAAAGACCTTGCCTCCTAATGGGAGCTGTAATGTTTCATTTTTATAATGGCAAGTTTTGCTTCCCCCTTTTCTCTGACCTACCCAGAATTCCATCCATGGCTTTCCGTCTGCAGCTTCATCTCAGAGTTCAAGCGCTTGGTGTTTTTTTTTTTTTCATGCTCACAGCTGCTTCTCCCTGCAACCTTTGTACTGCTGAAGGTTGTGCATTTCAAAATGAAGTGTGTGGGAGGCGTGAGCGGGCATGCAGATCAGTAAAATGGAAGGTTGGCACCAAGCTAAATGGTGTGCCCCTCACTCTGTCTACTACAAAGGGTGTAGAAATGCTGAGTGAGTTAGAGACCTGCTTAATATTTGGATTAAAAGCACGGGAAGACGGATAAGGAAAACCTTGCTAGCATCTGGTATTTAATTAATGGCCAGAATCCTGTTGTAGATTTACATGGGTGTAACAGTGTCAGTCACTTGTTAATCAGTAGCAATTTTCCATCATGATTTGAACCTTTTTACTTACACCAGCATAAATCCACGACGAGATTCTGGCCAGTATATTTCTTTTAGAAGATTTACATCAAAAGCAAAGCAGAAAACGTGCTGCTTATGTACCCCCCCCCATGGCGCTTCAAGCACTCTCTAGGCAGTTTACAAAGCAGAAAGCGTGCTGCTTATGTACCCCCCCATGGCGCTTCAAGCACTCTCTGGGTGGTTTATTATGCAGGCTACACATCCCCCCCCCAGCGAGCACTCATTTTACTGACCTCGGAAGGATAGAAGGCTAGGTCAACCTTGAGTCAGCTACCTGGGATTGAACCCTGGGTCATGAGCACAGTTTTAGCTGTAGTTCAGCAGTTTAACCGCGTGCTGCTTATGTACCCCCCCATGGCGCTTCAAGCACTCTCTGGGTGGTTTATTATGCAGGCTACACATCCCCCCCCCAGCGAGCACTCATTTTACTGACCTCGGAAGGATAGAAGGCTAGGTCAACCTTGAGTCAGCTACCTGGGATTGAACCCTGGGTCATGAGCACAGTTTTAGCTGTAGTTCAGCAGTTTAACCACTGCGCCACGATGCTCTTTAACATCAACCTCCTATCTAGATTATATGTTACTGAGAGAAAGCAGCAATTATGTGAATTGATTCCTGATTAAAGTAAAAAAAGAAGAAAGTGCTGAAGCAGGACTGCAATTGACTATGAAGACAAAAATCATTACCACCAAAAAATTATGTAACCTTAATGTTGACAATAAAGAAATCCAAATTGTTATGAAGACCAAAATCATTACCACCAAAAAAATTATGCAACTTTAATGTTGACAATAAAGAAATCCAAATTGTCAAACATGTTCTGTACTTCAGTTCATTCCTAATGGGGACCTACAGCCAAGCAATCAAAAGAAGATTTAGCAAAGCATATGTGAAAGAACTAGAAAATATACTTATGCACTATGGTATTCTCAGTATGTACAGATGTGAAAGCTGGACAATGAAGAAAGCTAACATGGAAAAAATCATTTGCTGGAGAGTATTAAGGATACCATGTGCCACTAGAAAGTGAATTCTAGATAAAATCAAGCCTGAACTCTCCCTAGAAGCAAAAATGACAAACTGTGTCATACTTTGGGCACTTCATGAGAAGACAAGACTCTGGAAAACACAATAAAGGCTAGCAAAATCTGGAGGCAACAGGAAAAGAAGACAATACAATATATAGACCACCATACTTGAGTTCTCAAGAGCTGCGCAGGGGTGGTGAAGATAGAACCTTTTAAGGGTTACTAATTTAGACAGTTAGCTATAAGTCAGAAGTGACACAACGGCACATCACAACAGCCCCTCTAGGTTTTTGGATTACAAATCTTGTTACCTATCTGTTTTGATTTTGTTAAGATAACAGGAGTTGTGGTTGAACACATCTAAAGGATGCTGAGGGCTGGAAGAGCCAATTTATATCTTCTCTTGCCTGTTCTAGATATTCAAGGTGTGGCGAACAACAGTAGGGTGAAACAAATCAAAACAAAATAAAATGGCTAAAATCCATGGAGTAATCATTCAGCGTTGCTTTAGAAGTGCTAGCTAACTCCATTTTTAAATGGTGGTCAATGCAAAGTGAGTAAAGAATTTTTTTTGCAGCAGTATAAACCCCTAAGGGCCTATATGTTGTGGGGGGGGCATTACATAATCGGAAAAAATCATTGCCAAATGACCACCAGCTGTCCCAATTCTGGCAGTGGCAAGTTTTAACTATTAAACGCTTCTCTTCCTCAGTGTTCCAAAACTCTGAAAGACTTCCACAGGGCAAGAGGGAGCCCTCGGGAGCCTCCGAAGCTGAAACAAGGGGACAAGGAACTTTAAATTAATTATTTCCAGCAGGATCTTGTCCGATAAAATGGCTCAGTTGAATTAATTCCCTTGGTCTAATCATTGCTTTTCAGACTAGGAGCTTGGAACCTTATGTGCTGGAGGGGTTTTCTTTGGGGGGGGGAGGCGCTGCTTTGAGTGAAATGTAGGGTGTTTTCTGATATCCCAAATTAAAATTCCAAAGTATTGAAGATTTACATCGTTATTGAATGGTGATTGAAGTCAGGAATTCGTAGATTTTTCTGGTATTCCACGACCCCAGTGAGAATGCTAATGTTCCCCACGCTCAGCAGGCTTTATCTCCTGGCAGCCACAGTATATTATGATTACGTTTCTTTCTGTTTTTCTACCATACCATTTGGCACGAGCCTTTATTTTTGTTGGGAACTGGGGAAAAAGTGATATATTTTGTCCTTGTGTGCTTTAACTGGACATAGGAAGTAGAAGAAACGTGGGAGGGAATTGTTTTCTCCATGTACAGTTGTTGATGCTCCAGAATTGCCTGCATTGTGAATCTTGTTTCCTGGAGGTTCTGCAGCAAAATCTAACTTTGCAGGAGTAATATGCCCTGTCCTAATGCATGAGGGTGAACATATAGCAACAGCACGTGGCAGCATTGTTCCAAATGCCTGAGACATAAGACCCAAATTAAAACCCAATGGGATCAGATGAAACAGCCCTCGGCTCCAGTCTCCTGTTTCCTACAATGGTCAAACAGAGATCTCGGAGAAATACACAGCCATGGTATTAGGCTAGCACTCCTCCTGCTGCTGTTTCCATGTTAATTGGTATTCAGAGGTTTATTGGCAGGTCTAAGGGACTTCCATGGAGAGCGCCTTATTAGTGGTGGCACCGGTGGTGTAGGGGTCAATTTGGAAGTGCACCGGCTCTTAATGACAGTTTCTGTACTCAACCCCTGCTTCTCAGAGTCCCAGAAACTCAGGCTGCCTCAGCAGTCCATACTAGCAAATGATGAGCAGGTCTTTTGTAGAGTTAATGGCTCTTAGTTTGAAATTAAATCAATGGATTTATTTATTTATTTATTTATGTATTTATGTATTTATGTATTTATTGGACTTATATACCGCCCCATAGCGCTACAAGCACTCTCCGGGCGGTTTACAATTTTTAATTATACAGGCTACACATTGCCCCCCCAGCAAGCTGGGGACTCATTTTACCGACCTCGGAAGGATGGAAGGCTGAGTCAACCTTGAGCTGGCTGCCTGGGATTTGAACCCCAGGTCGTGAGCACAGTTTTAGCTGCAATACAGCGGTTTAACCACTGCGCCACGAGGCTCTATTTCTAGCAGTCTGTGTCACTGCCCGCTAAGGAAGCCTGTATGATCCCCACATTGCAAACGAATGGGTGCACGCAGAGTCATGTGTCTTGAACGGAGAGCTTTCTCTCACATACCTTGTTTGTGTAGCGTTGTGCTCCTCCAATAAATTTATCCTCAGCTGTGTAAGGTTGAAATAGGTTCAAAGGGTGCCTTTTCCAGAAGCTTTGACTGCTGTGTCACTGCCTGCTAAGGAGGCCTGTATGTTCCCCACATTGCAAACGAATGGGTGCACGCAGAGTCATGTGTCTTGAACGGAGAGCTTTCTCTCACATACCTTGTTTGTGTAGCGTTGTGCTCCTCCAATAAATTTATCCTCAGCTGTGTAAGGTTGAAATAGGTTCAAAGGGTGCCTTTTCCAGAAGCTTTGACTGTGCTGCTGTGAAAATTGGGTGTTAATAACCACAATTTGAAGTACAGTATATGTCGCAAGCTTTTGCTTGATTTTTTCTTCTCCTCCTCAAGTGGCTGCTATTGAAAAGCTGTTGGACTTTTAACTCTCTTTTCTCTTTTATGTGAAGCTGCTTTCCAGCTCTCAAATGTGAGAATTCTTTCATGGCAGCTGTTCCAAATTTGGGCTTTTCTTTCTCTGTAGGTATGGGTAGTGGTTTTTATTTTTCACCTTTTTTTTTCCTCTGTGAAAAAGAAAACGATAGTTTTGAAAAGATGTACTTTAGCAGTGCCCCCTTTGGGGAGGGGGCTCCCATTTTCCTGCCCGTGTTCTTGTTTAGGATTTAACTGTTTTTCTCACAGATGCTTACAAAGAAACACCTCAGTCTTTTTGCCCTCCAAACTAACCTATTCTCTCCCCCCCCCTTTTTTTTTCTCTCTCTCTTCCTTTGACGTACACAGAACCTTCTGCTTCTGGAAAAAGGCTGCGTAAACTTGCGTAAACAAATCCAAAATGCTGTGACGTTTGGTATTCCGGTTGTAGTGGCCGTCAATGCATTCAAGTAAGCAGGATTACGTTCCCGATTAACTGATACAAACAGTGGGGTGCCAGAGCCTTGAAGGGGGGGGCAGGAGGAGTTATCCGAGGTTTGGCATCCGACAGAGGGTTGTCCAACTTTCTCTCGAATGCCTTGAGTTTTGGAGCTCTCACCACCTCCCGCGGTAGTTGGTTCCATTGTTGTACTGCTCTAACAGTTAATAAGTTTTCCTGATATTCAGCCTAAATCTGCCTTTCTGTGCCTTGAGCCCATTGTTATGTGTCTTGCACTCTGGGATAATCGGAAACAGATCGTGCCCCTTCTCTGTAGGACTACCTTTCAAGTGTTTTAAGAGTGCTATCATATACAGTGGTGCCTCGCTTAACGATGTTAATTAGTTCCAAAAAAACACATCGCTATGGGAAAACATCGCTAAGCAAAACACCATTTTCAGTCTTCTCTCCTGAACAGCTGGAAGCCACAGTTGCCATCCCCGATGGCGCCCACTCAGAGGCAGTGCCTCCATCGTTGCCACGGAGTGGGTGCCTGCCAGAGGCAGTGGGGCTGAACAGACGCCTGTTCGTGCCCATCTCAAATCCGAAGCATTTTTATGCCAAACAATATGGCAAAGAGACATTCGGAGACCATATTCCCAGGCTCCTAACTGAGCCTCTGTTTGTCTGATGCTCGGTAAGGTGAGGACTATACGTCAAAACTGCCAGGACTCACAGGGTAACATCCTGACCGGGGCTAAACCATTAGAAGCCCAGTTCCCACATGGAAATGGCTGAGTTAGGCGCCTACTTGAAACATGCTAAGCCTTCCGTAGGCCATGTGCGTTGCGAGAATCGCCGCCCACTTCCTCCTGCGCCATCTGCAAATCTCCGTGCATGTGTTTTTATGACATTAGCATTGAAACATAAGGTGTGGTTGCATGCTGTTGCCCTGAAGCGCACAGAACCGTCTGCGAGCGATTTGCTGTCGCAGCTCCTTTGGTCTCTTACCCGGTCTTTTCATTTTTTAACCTTGAATAAGACAGAATGTCTTGGTTACTCAGGCAGTGCTTTTTTTCCTAGTTGCCAGCTGAATCGAGGGAGGTGAGAGTGGAGATGTCATGAAGATTAAGTGCTTAATGATTTGCAGTGAACATTAATAAAGTAAAAATTAAATTTCCTTCTGCGTCTCCTGCCTCCAGTTTAAAGACTTTTGATTTATATTTTAAATCATCTTTTGCTCAGTGTCCTCCCACATTCCTTTTCTCTACCTACAGAATCCAATCTGTAGCCCTAAAACAGATGAAACATGGTCAGCTTTGACCATGATTAAGTGGCCCGTCTGTGTTCCTCAAGGATTGAATACTTTCCCTCTTTACAGGTTTTCCCTCTGACATAATGATATGGTATAAACCCTGTATTGAAACCAGTTCTAATCATGGTTAGCATTAACTAGAGTTTGCGAAGCTTCAAAAACTCTGCAAAGATAACCATGGATAGGACCGAATTCAGAGCCAGTCCACATGGACCAAAATCCTGTTGCTTGGCGTAGTAAATTGCAGAAGAATAGACCCATTGATGAGTTAACTCCTCTGTAAGTTGCACTGATTCAGATGAGCCTATGCCAACTGTGATTTACCTTAACAGAGTAGGCCTATTTGAATCAATGGAACTGAATATAGACATTGACTCACTGAGTCTCCATTGATTTAGTGGGCAACTTTAGCGAGATTGACTGATTTTGGCCACTGTAGTTCATGCAGAAAAAAGAAGGTAAGAAATAGGAAAAAATGCAAATCTCCGTGCATGTGTTTTTATGACATTAGCATTGAAACATAAGGTGTGGTTGCATGCTGTTGCCCTGAAGCGCACAGAACCGTCTGCGAGCAATTTGCTGTCGCAGCTCCTTTGGTCTCTTCCCCGGTCTTTTCATTTTTAACCTTGAATAAGACAGAATGTCTTGGTTACTCAGGCAGTGCTTTTTTTCCTAGTTGCCAGCTGAATCGAGGGAGGTGAGAGTGGAGATGTCATGAAGATTAAGTGCTTAATGATTTGCAGTGAACATTAATAAAGTAAAAATTAAATTTCCTTCTGCGTCTCCTGCCTCCAGTTTAAAGACTTTTGATTTATATTTTAAATCATCTTTTGCTCAGTGTCCTCCCACATTCCTTTTCTCTACCTACAGAATCCAATCTGTAGCCCTAAAACAGATGAAACATGGTCAGCTTTGACCATGATTAAGTGGCCCGTCTGTGTTCCTCAAGGATTGAATACTTTCCCTCTTTACAGGTTTTCCCTCTGACATAATGATATGGTATAAACCCTGTATTGAAACCAGTTCTAATCATGGTTAGCATTAACTAGAGTTTGCGAAGCTTCAAAAACTCTGCAAAGATAACCATGGATAGCACTGAATTCAGAGCCAGTTCATATGGGCCAAAATCCTGTTGCTTGGCATAGTAAATTGCAGAAGAATAGACCCATCAATGAGTTAACTCCTTTGTAAGTTGCACTGATTCATATGAGCCTATGCCAACTGTGATTTTCCTTAACAGAGTAGGCCTATTTGAATCAATGGAACTGAACATAGACATTGACTCACTGAGTCTCCATTGATTTAGTGGGCAACTTTAGCGAGATCGACTGTGCTAAGAAACAAGATTTTGGCCACTGTAGTTCATGCAGAAAAAAGAAGGTAAGAAATAGGAAAAAACATTTCTGTACTTTGCCTGTATTGGGTACTGTCTGTTCTTGTATAATTCAGCTTATGATAACAGAGTACTCATTTCTGTATATTGCTAGTAGTAAAAAAGTGGGAGATGATAGTTATTATTTTGCAAGCTAAAAGACCCAACTTTGCCTGGGTCTTTTGACTCTCAACCTTACCCTGGTGTCTTCTCTCTTTTTTTGTACACTATAATTTTGTACACTATAATATAAATTTAAATTTATAAATATTTAAACAAATTTCGCTCTCCCCTCGCACTTCATCTTGAGACTGAAGTCAGTTCCTCCCCCATCCAACATTTTTCCCAGTTAGACAACATTAGGAGCCTCCTGCCTTTCCCCTTAAAAATAAGGCCGAGTGAAGGCATATGAATTTTGGAATTCAGCTCATCCGCCTCTTGAAGACGAGACATCACCCAGTTCCATAGGCAATGAGAAGTAATTGGAATGCCCTGGGGGGGAAATGGTTTTTAAGCCAGACCACCCCAGAGATACTCTCTAAATTTAGTAGAAATTCAGCCAGACATGAAAATAATGGGGGGAGTGGATTCTGAGGAGTCCAAAAGTGGTTCTCCTGTATGAATCATGGTCTGTTATTTGAGTTAAACTACTTCCAACCTCAATCCCAAATTTGATGGACTAGCCCAGGGTCACCCATTAAGTTTTGTGATCAACTATATCTGTCAGAATTTCTTAGCCAGTACAGCTTCTGAGAATTGTCTTTCGCTCTCTCGCTCTCTTTCCTCCCTCTTCTCCCTCTTTCCCACCTCTACTAGTTTGGTAGGAAAGACACAAATTGATCTTGCAGAGGTCTAAACTGATTACTTTTGAAAGGCTGAGGGCCATATGAGAACCAACTGATTGCATTTGGCCCTCGGCTGAAGGTTGCCGACCCTGTTTTACATAATCTGGTGCAAGTTACATAGCCTTGCGGAAACACAGGCTCAAAGTTCAGTCAATAGAAATCGTTCTTAAAAAAGACTTCCTCCTTCACTGTGAACGAAAGGATTGCTGTACGGCTAGTGTGTGAGATGTGCAGAGCCTGGAAAAAGTTGTTTTTTTGGGGGCTACAACCCACCCTGAAATCCCCCATAGGCATGCTGTCCAGGGGTTTCTGGTGGTTATTGTCATAATCCTTGAATTCTGAGCATGCTAGTCTAAATATTCTTGACAGTGCCCATGCCGACTGGGGAATTCTGGGGATTATAGTCCAAAAAAAAAAAAAAAGAAATTTCTTCAGCTTTAGAAGTAGCTATCATAACCCACTCATTCAGACAAGGCATTAAAGCAGAAAGCAGAAGAGGAAAAATAAACTTAAAAACAGGGGAATAGAACAGAGCAAAATGGCTGGAATCCTATGGCTTACTGGAGTAAGTTGCACCTACAGGAGGCCACCAGATCATGTGAGATTTGGTGAATCAGCTCTTCTGTAAGTTCCATTCAGTGGGCTTACTCTAGTTGCAGCTTCCTAAGCCGAGCAACGGGACTTCAGCTACTGGAACGCAAGAGCAAGTACTGTCTGTGGCATTGTTTCAGAATCATCAATCATCACGTTTTCAAAACCAAATAATTTTGCATTTTTATGTATCAGTCAGATTCTGGGCATTAGAAACAAATGATTGGATGTCTTCCAAGGACGTTTGCTCTCTGTCTCAAGGGTGAGGAAGCCTGAATTAGATTTTGCCTGGGACGGTTGATAGGTTGTGCGTTTGTGAATTTAGGTTGGCGTCCTTCTTGCTGTTGCTCCTGTCTACTACTAGCTTTGGCCCTCCTGCCACCAACCGGTTGTCCTTGACTGGTTGTTCCCAAAGAAACGTGGCCGTCAGTAGGAGGCAGTGTTGCATGACATAAACCATCCATCTTTCTGTTTACAATTATTGTGGATTAGGTAGTCTAATGGAAAAAGAGCGGCACCAGTTGTAGTAGCAGCAGCAGCAGTTGCTCTTAAATTGGCGCCATATTTCTCATGGCCATTGAGCTTCATTCATACACCAGAGGAAGGGAGACGGTGCCTGATTTTCCTCTTCCCCGATTTCCCATTTTTCCAGCTGCCAATTTTAGAAAAGATCCGAATTATCTCGCAGAAGATTTATGGAGCAGATGATGTTGAGCTGCTGCCAGAAGCTGAGCAGAAAATTATTCAGTATACGAAGCAGGTACGTCTGTTGGCGAGGTGGGTGATGCAGTTTCTGATCTCGGGTGGAACAGCAGGTTAGGTTGGGTACAGCATCGAATAGGGCGTCGTTCATTTTTCTAGAAGAGAAAGATGCCAGAAAAGTCTCGGTTCATTGGGAAAAAAAGAGTTCTGTCTGTCATCTTGGCACCATGGTCTCCAACCTCCTGTCCAATTTGGTGCTGGCAATAACAGGTCGTTCCTGTTTTCTTTTCCTGAGCTCATGAACTTAATTTATATCCTCTTCCATCTTGGATCAAATGCTGTTTAGTAACAAAATGTGGGGAGCTCATGGGGTTGATCATTCTTTGTAGTATTTGCTCCTACCTATTTACCTCATAAGTGTCACACACTAGACTTCATAGGGTTATTTCATTTTAAATTCCTACATTTTGTTTCTATATTCGTTCCTGTTTCGTAACCTAGATTTATGGCACTTGTACATCTATTTAAAGATCTCTGTTGTGATGTCTCTCCCAACTGCTGAAATAAAGTGCTTGAGTGTGTTGTTGTTGTTTTTAAAGCACAACTCGCATGGATTTTTGCTAAAGCAGTAGCACCTCTGACTCATATCTCCCACTATACTACCTACAGCTGCAAGTTGCATGGATGGAGATCTTTCCCCCTGCTGCAGGATAACTGTGTCACAGAAAGAAAGAAAAAAACACCAACATGACACATTAAATATATTTAGTAGGATCCTGTCACAGGCAGTTTCTCAAAGTCATAATTGTAGTTCATAACGGGGAGATGGGAGCTGTATTCCTTCGCCTCTGAAAGGCCCATAGAAAAAAAATGATAGATTGGGCAAATTTACCTTTCTGGACCAATAGAAACGAATTTGGCCATGCTGGGGGGGACTATGGGAGTTGTAGTCCCAGAAAATAATATATTCAAGCACTGTTACAGAGCATAGGACAGCATTGTGAAAACGAGTGAGGACAAATAAATTTGTAAAATGCCCCATAAGATGCAAGGGGACAGAACAGACAATATCCTTTCCCCATCCTGGTGTTTTCCATTTATGTATGGAATAGAACGCTCGTCCTCCCCATCCAGCAGGGTCAAGATGGCGTTCTGGATGTTATGATGGCGTTATGGGCCAAAGACACATGGGGTGGGTAAGGCCCGGCTGGAGAAGTCCAGTTTTGATGCTTACGAAGATGGGAAAAACGAGACCCGTAGCAGTGGTTGGTAGTAATAATGAAAGTCATTTTTAAACTTTCTGCTAATTAGGCATAAAAGAGAATAATGTCATATCCATGATTATGTGGGTGAATCAATTAGGGACAGAATAGATCTGTTGAAGTCAAGGAATATGGGGGCGAAACTAACTTTAACTGGAACGATTGTGTGTAATTTCGTTGGCACTTTATTCAGTTTGCTGCCCTGTTCTTCTCTGCTTTTTGTTTCTTGCTCCGACCTCCATACAGGGATTTGGAAACCTGCCGATCTGCATGGCCAAAACCCACCTGTCGCTGTCTCACGACCCAGAACTCAAAGGGGTGCCCACTGGGTTTGTCCTGCCCATTAGAGACGTCAGAGCCAGTGTGGGCGCCGGATTTTTGTATCCACTGGTCGGAACGGTAAGTGTAGCATAGAAGGCGCTTCGCGGTTTGCTGTCCCTTCGGTCTGATTAATGCCTGGAAAATAACTTTTGAAATTGGCCCTCCATCTAATTTCCAAGAAAGTCACCCAAATGTAATTCTTTTATGATCCAGAATTTTTTATGTCTTTGTGATAACGCTGGTTGTGAAGGGGCTCATTACTTTGTTACTTCTAAAAAAAAATAGTGTTGGTAAGATAATGACATAAGCACTGTTAAAATCCCTCTAAAACGGCCCTGTAAAGATATCTACAGAAGGTTATTTCTCCCGTCCTGTCATCCCTGGATCTTTGTCCCGTCTTGCCACTGATTTTCTACAAACACAATTCAGCCGGCTAGTTCAGACAAAAAATTGCTCCAGCATCCCCCACACACAGGTGAGGCTGCACTGATGAGCAGAGAGACATTTGGGGGAGTACGGCTTTCCGGATTTGGAATGGGTTGGTGGGAGATATGTTTGCAGGTAAAAAGCTGCTGGTTGTTTGGTGAGTTGGTGGTGAGAGAGAGCCGCTAAGCGGGGATGGGGATGTGGTGAGTGCTCCAACACTCATTCAAAAGAAAATTAGACATTCATCTGTCAGATCTTCTTTGATTTAGATTCCTGCATTGAGTGGGGGTTGGACTCAATGGCTTTATAAGCTCCATCCAACTCAATTATTCGATGACTCAGGTTTTTCCCCTTCCATATTTAACATGTGAATAAGAATTGTGTGCTCTTCAAGTGCAATCTGACTCATGGTGACCCTTTCTAGGTTTTTCTCGGTAGAGAATACTACCTAGTAGTTTACCATTCCATTCTTCTGGGGGCATCCTTGGGACTGTGCAGCTTGCCCAAGGTCACACAGGTTGGCTTTACTTGCCGGAGGCACCATGAGGAATCAAACTCCCAACCCCTGGCTCTGCAACCAGGTACCCTAACCACTAATCTCTCCAGCCAGCTATTTCACTTATTAAACCACATTAAGCATAAACAGTTCTCCAGCACATTTTCTTGAACCTGCAGCCCTGTTACAGAGTTTCCGTATTGAGATTGATAAGATTTATGGTAAATTAGTGCTGGCTTTGGATCAAAAATTTAAATAAAGAAAAAGGGAAGAACCGCGCTTTCTTCCAAGAGCCACTCCTCGGCAACCCAAAAGAAAAATGTTCCTCGGTATAAATAGCAAAGCACATCTTGCCAGAAGATTCGGAAGACTAAAACATTTTGTCTTGTTTTGGCATCTCCAAAATTGGGCCGCCTGGGTTTTAATTAAAATCTTGTGTAAGCATCTTACACAAGCCGATCAGTAACCCACTAGCTTGCTTTTTTTTGAAGTGTGGCTTCCATGAAACCAAATGGCATTTAAAAAAAGGATAGAGGCCAATGATTTAAGAGGCACGGTGCAGCACATGAGAACAGTTGCATGGGCTGAGAAGGAGAAAGATCTGGTGTACAACGGTAGGAAGCTCAGGCTTAAAGCCCCAAGTTCTGGCAGTTCACAGGCCCCTTGCTGTAGTCTGAATTATAAAGGTAAAGGTTCCCCTTGACCATTTTTGTCCAGTCGTGTTCGACTCTAGGGGGCCGTGCTCATCCCCGTTTCCAAGCCATAGAGCCAGCGTTTTGTCCAAAGACAATCTTCCGTGGTCACATGGCCAGTGCGACTTAGACACGGAACGCTGTTACCTTCCCACCGAGGTGGTCCCTATTTATCTACTCGCATTTGCATGCTTTCGAACCGCTAGGTTGGCGGGAGCTGGGACAAGTGACGGGCGCTCCCTCCATCGCGTGGATTCAATCTTACGACTGCTGGTCTTCTGACCCTGCAGCACAGGCTTCTGCGGTTTAGCCCACAGCACCACTACGTCCCTCCCAGTCTGAATTATAAAGCAAAACAAAGTGTGGTGCCTATATACCACCCTGTAGCACTTAAAGCTACAGGTTTACTTGGACTTTTTTGTTTGTTTTTTAATTACACAAGCTACACATTGCCCCCTCCCCAGCAAGCCGAGTACTCTAGTTTGCCAACTTTGACAGGATGGAAGGCTGAGTTAACCTTGAGCTGGAATTGAACCCAGGTCATGTGTAGAGTTTGGGCTGCAGTACTGCAGAGGGACGTGGTGGCGCTACGGGCTAAACCGCAGAAGCCTCTGTGCTGCATGGTCGGAAGACCAGCAGTCGTAAGTTTGAATCCACGCGACGGAGTGAGCTCGCGTTGCTTGTCCCAGCTCTTGCCAACCTGGCAGTTCGGAAGCATGTAAATGCAAGTAGATAAATAGGGACCACTCGGTGGGAAGGTAACAGCGTTCCGTGTTTAGTCGTGCTGGCCATGTGACCACGGAAACTCTCTTCAGATAAACACTGGCTATATGGTTTGGAAACAGGAATGAGCACCGCACCCTAGAGGTGGACACGATCGGACTAAATGTCGAGGGGAACCTTTACCTTTACTGCAGTTTAACCAGTGGCCCACACAGCTTCTGGCAAAGGAGCTACCCGAGGTCCTTGATGGGGGTAGGTCCCAGCACCTTGGACAGCTGCTTTTAAAGTTTCAGAGTAAAACCCAGAGTGGACCTAAAAACTCTACAAAAGGAGCCTTGCCTCAGGATACAGAAGTTTCCTCTGTTCTTATTTAAAGGATATAATTTTCAGACATGCTGGAGGCCAGGTGTCTCTTACAGGTGGACGCAGATGGGCTTTCAAAACGCCCCACACTGTGTGGAGCTGACTTGGACAAGAGGAGAGCTTCACCTCGCCCTGCTTGGATTGAGGCTATGAGGTCCCTGCTGGCTCTCAAATGCATTTTGTTAGCAGTCACTGTTAATACAATTGTCTTGGGCCGTCCCTTTTGCATTTCGGTTCCTTTACTTCCACCTTCCACCTGAACATGTGTATTAATACCTGCCGGCTGGAGAAACACTGCATGCAGCTGCTGAAGTGGGCTGCAATCCAGCGAAGCTTGTTATACAAATTGCTAGTCTTTTTCCGGTCCCGCCGAGCGCTCTGTTGTTTTCTTCAATCCAGGTCATGCCAATGCACGGAGAAAGGAGCAGGCAAGTGCTGTGTGTTTCCATCATCCTCTGTGCATTGGAGTCCAGTGGTCTGAAGAGGCATCTTTTATTCCGAGCGCTGCTTTTCCAGTAGCCAAGCACAGATATTCCTCGAGCGTAGGGTGTCGAGGAGCAAAAGGGAATGTGGCCTTTGAATGATATGATTTCTCTTTCAATCCGCAAGCCCACGACGTAGCACAGCAATTACACAGCATTCATAAGGCCATGAACAGGGTCTTTTTGTGGGTGTCGCTATTGCCGCTGCACTCGGCATTATTAAAACCCACTCGCTCAGCAGAGCTGCTCCTGTTAACATCCCTCTGAAACACTTAAGATCATGGAGAGCCCTGTAGCTTTATTCTGGTTTCTTTTGTTTGTGGTTGTGGCTTGCGGGGGAAGCTTTATATTAGGGAGTGCGATACAAAACGGCAGCCTGGTGAAGGAAGTACGAACACCTGTAGCTCTCCTGGGATATCCATGGCTTTCTGCAGACCAGTCTGCTGAAGTTAGAGGGTACCTGTGCTCCCTTACCTGCATTTGGAGATGCTTGGTGAAGCTGACCCTAAGTTTTTGTGTTTTGTTACAATGGATGGTTGGCAGGGTTGGAGCTTGTGGGCTCAAAGCCCCAGGACTTTTCAGCTTAACCTGACGTCCTTGGACATCCTGCTCAGACTTCTCTGTTCCTTCTGTCTTTAGCTGCAGTCTTCACTCTAGCTGGGAGCAAAATGAATTTTGCCAGGAATTTATACATTGCTGCAAGCTACCCCTGTTGTAATTTGAGGACTTGAATGAGCAGTTAAGAGCCGTTAACTTTACAAAAGACTTGCTCCTCAGCAGCCTGCTTTATAGAAGAACTGGCAAGATCCTTCCTTACAGTGCTGCTGAATAATCTGTTCATTAATTTATTTTTGTTGCTCTTGTTGTTTATTACGAGGGTGCCAAAGAAAACTCCACCAGTTACTTGGTGTTGGGTAGTGTTATCTTGAAAATGAAGTGGAAAATCCTCTTTCTCATGCTTCACGTGATTAAGTAAGTCTTTGCTGCATATTCTCATAGAAACGTGCTATAAATCCAGGAAAGGGAACTATAAACCTGCCTGCAACAAAGATTTGCCGCTTTCTTGTTGTTGTGGCTGTTCATTTTCTCAAGCCAATGATTAAGCCAACTGTTAGATATTCTAGTTGGTGAGCTTCTTACTCCTTTTGAGAAATCTGTAGCCCTTTCGATAAATCAGATTTTCTCTTGTTTCTGCAGCATGGCTCATTCTAAGCTTTATTAACCTGCCTTATTGGTTGCTGATGGATCTGCTGTTCAATACTGAAGCTTGAAATCCTGGATGGAGAGGCAGGAATTAAGATCTTTTAGAATAAAGTTTGAGGAGCAATGAAAGATAGGAATGAAATTCAACATAACCACAGTTTTGTATGAATTTATTTTGTTCATGATCTGTGATATTATTAATGAAAGACTGCTTGTATTTTTTTATTTCCCATGATCGGGGGTGGGGGGAAGCATAAACTTCAAGATTCTTTTCTCTTTTTTTCAATGAAATGGGCATGACTGAAAATATATTTGAGTATATTGGGGGGGATGCACTGTTTGTTTATTTATTTAAAATATTTTTTACCCTGCCTTTCTCCTTTAAAAGGACCCAGGCAGTTTACATCATTTAAAAGACAACATTTAAAGCTAAATACAAATACTAAAAAGGGTCACACAAATACTACACTAAAACACAATAAGCAAAGCAACACAGAAAACATTCAAGACAGTAAACCACCGCACTCCACTTAAAAACCTCACGCAGGAAACCAGCCCCTGAGGGAAAGCTTACCTGGAGAGAAAGCATCATCATCATCATCACCAGCCACCCTTGGTTATTATCGTTACTGGTACAGGGAGAGTCTTGGGCCCAACAGACTATGGAATATATAGGGCTCACTATTACCCATCTATCAGGGGGACTTGGAACCAATCCCTGGTGGATATAATGTATAGTGTCTTTTTCAACGCCCCTTTCCTTGCTTTCTTCCAGATGAGCACTATGCCAGGACTTCCCACTAGGCCTTGCTTCTATGACATCGACCTGGATCCAGCAACTGGAGAGGTGAAGGGTCTTTTCTAGAATGGCAAATCAAGAGTAAGTATTGCATCATATGCCAGATTGGTTGGGGACCACTGCCGTGGACTACCAGAGAGATAAAACAAGTGAATCCTAGATAACATTAAGCTTGAACTCTAGAAGGTCTCCTATTTTGGTCACATCATAAGAAGGCGGGATTCTCTGGAAAGAATAATAATGCTGGTAAAGGTTGAAGGCAGCAGGAAAAGAGGAAGACCAAATACAAGATGGAGCAATACCCTAAAGGAACCACAGGCTTGAAGTCTACAAGAGCTGAGCAGGGCTTTGGAGATTCCTCCTTCATAGGGTGACTTGATTGCACATAACAACAGAAAACCAGTTAATCCAATGTGCATCTTCCAGTTTGATCAGAGAGATTGGAAGATAATACACGAACATGTCTTCTCCTGGCCACAAGCCTTGTCATTTTTTAAGCTCTTTGATTAAACCAATCGGGTTTCCTTATTTAGCAATAGTGCAGGGATGGGCAACTGATGTTGTGTTCCAGCAGATTTTGTTGAGATGCAGTTCTCATGAGCCCCAGCCATGATAGCCAGTGTTGAGGAATGATGGGAGTTTTAGTCCACCCACTAAGAGGCTAGAAATTGCCTATCACTGCAAGGTGGGTCAGTGGTTTCGTATTTTCTGTTGCTCTCGCCTTGATTTTTAGCATTGTTGATTCCTGTAACCTAATCTCTTTTTCTGCTTGTAGGTAATCAGAGCAATGTCTGTCTGAGGAAACCTGCCCAAGATTACTCTGTGGACACTACAAGCCTTTGAAATATTTTAAACAAAAAAAAATTAATACTGTATTTTAAGAGGTGATTGACTTCTTTTAGCTGCTGCAGGTGAGAATCTGCCTGGAGTTTTTAAACAGTGGAGCTTTTTAAAATGGATCCACAGTGTGGCCTTATAGTGGTCAGTTTTTAAATAAAGACTAGTTTTAACGGAGGTTGTAGCCGGGGGAAATAAATTTTGCTTGATTAATCATGTGATTTTTTTAAAAAACTGGTGTATTACGTTTGCAGATCAGTAAAGGCAACATTTCCAAGTCAAATGTGTGTGTTCCTCGTTTTAGGTAGTATACATGCGTTTCAGTACACAGGACCTGGGGAAAAGTATTCCTGCTGTGTTTTGCGGCAGCCAAAGGCTGAGTGCCTTTTTAAAAACATATATATGTCATCAGACGTTTTTATAGGCACACCATTAATCTTTTTTTAAATTGTCCAATTAGAGGGATGCTTTTGGTTTAATTTTTTTTTTCAATCAATACATTTTACAAATCAATCAAATCAGCACTTCAGCCCTTAATTCTCTCTCTTTGTTGCTAATATTTCAGTACACACACAAAAAGTATTTTGTTATTTTTTGTTACATGTTAATTCTCCTCAAAGACATCTCCCGTGTGACAGCTAGAAAAAAAAGAACGCAGTCTTCACTTAACGCTTTAAAAACAGCCTAACACTCAAAGCTAAATTCCCTTACAAAGAGAGAGAGATTTGAAATTCATCTTTCTTTTTAATGAGTATCTTGGTTATCCTTCAACAAAACATCTCATGCATCAGTGGAGGCCACAGCGGTACAGAAGCGTGCTGCATCTCTCTGCTTGGATGGCTCTCTAGCTCTACTGCCAAATTGTGCGGATCTGCTGAGATGCAAATATTGTCTACCACTGTGTTGGTTTTACGGATGCTTGTTATGCCCTGATGTCTACACATCACCTCTCTCACTATTGTGCTTAGTTTTGGATTGCTTTAGTAACGGTGGTGGCCAAATGAGATCAGAATACATCCACACTTCAACATTGTCAAACTGCTTGTGGTGTCGCCACCAAAACCTCATCTGATTGAGTCTACGGTCATTTGGGCAGGAGGCCAGTTTGTTCAACCAGGACGATGCCCGCTCTAGATACACAATGAGTCCTCCTCTGCTTGCCGTTGCTCTATCAGAGACACTGGAGAAGAAGTCCTTGTTTTGCTTCATTTTTATTTCTGTGCAAACCAGATCCGGACCTCCAGGACTACCCAAGCAAGAGACGTCTTGCCATTTCCAGCCGACTTACAGACTGAAGTCTAGGTGCGATCCTGAATCCTCTGAAGTTAAACAAGGATTTGCCTTCTGAAACTCTGTAGGGACACACAGAGAGCCTTTTCTAATAGAAAAAAAATGTTGTGTTGCCAGATCTGTTATTAGCGCAAATAAACTCCAACATCCTTACACAGCTTTCAGGGATCCAGTTATGCATGTGCGATTAAAAAGAGAAATGTATAAGGTTCACAATTTTGGGGGCCCCAATAGCACATTCCTGGGAGCCTGGAAAATACAGGGGGCAGGGGGATTGCAAAAGTGCAGTCATATTTGGATCTGCAATGCCAAGTGTGAAATTAATCCTTTGTTTTCAGGGAGCGGGAGGGCCAGGGCAAAGGGTCTGTTTACTCTTGGGAGGAAAATCAAAGTCCTCAAGTCATCAGCTGGGTTTTGAAGTATGTACAAATATAAAAGTATCTTCACTGTGTTTGTGACATCTCTGCTTCTTCAAAGAGATCTGGGTGGCGTTCTTGCTTTCCTCTCTCTGTCAAATCTCTCCTCGGAAAGAAATCTCCATAAAGCTTTGCATTTAACTGAGCTTCCACCTATTTTTGAGAAATTTCCAGGAATAGACCTTGATCATTCTGTTGCATCAAATAAGAATAGTTGTGCCATAAATTCCAATTTGTGGTGATCCTTTCCAGGGTATTGTAGGCAGAGAATATACAAGTAGTTTATCATTCCCTTCTTCTGGAGGCGCCCTGGGACTGCGCAGCTTGCCCAAGGCCACACAGGCCGGCTCTTCTCGCAGGAGGCCCAGTGGGGGAATCAAACTCCCAACTTCTGGATCTGCAGCCAAAAACTGAAACCACTGAGTTATCCAGTCAGCATGTTGTACCAAAAACCACCGTGAATTTTGTACTTCATTAAAGACCAACAAGTTTTATCAGATGTGAGTTTTCATTGTCTCTAAGCCCACTTTATTGTAAGATCCATGGGTGTAACAAAGTTGGCTGCAGCCCGTAGATGCTTATGCCAGGCACAATGTGTTGGTCTCTGAGATGCCATGAGACTTCATTATTGCTGAGAAAAAGGCATTTGGATCAGGATCTGTGTTGTCTTTTGACAGTCTGTTTGAGCAATTAGTTCTATGATCCCCTTTATACATGCTCAGGTTACAGCTATAAACCAGGAAAAAATAGAATGGGTGGACAAGGCAGTGGGTAGAATCCTGTTGCTTATCACAACTCCAACAATGCAAAGCAAAAAAAAAGTGAATTATACTGCTTATATAACACCCCACAACATTCAAAGTGCTCTCTGGGTGATTTTCAATTTAATTATGCAGGCTACACATAATTCCCAAATTACTGTATTTTTCCATGTATAAGACTATACTTTTGTGTTTAACTAAAAATTTAGGGTTGTCTTATACATGGAAATAAGCTGAGGAGAGGACAAAAACAAATGGAGGGGAAAGCAGGGATCAAAGCGATCCTGCATCGATTTGATCCCTTTCCCCCTACACTTGATAATCCCCACTTAGATTTCTTAATTTTGGGTTAGAAAAGTGGGGGGCGTCTTATACACAGAAAAATATGGTAGTTTCAAAATCAATGTAGGGACTCATATTGTTTAAGGCAGAGACTCAGCATGTTCTGCCCTTCAGTTGTGAGTCCCTGGGCCAGACCAAGTAAGACCTAACATTATCAAATCACCCAGTGAGACCCATTTCACCTGTCACTTCCCTCCTGCATTAAATTCGGCTCAGTCTGTAGGAATAAGGACTCAAGGGTCAGGCTTTCTTCCCACTCCCTTCCTTTTCACATCTTGCCTGATGGAGACAATGTTTTCCCCAAAGCTTGCAGAGTTTGGAGACACTTTTCAATGTGTGTTTTCCCCATCTTTTTAGTTGGCCTAATACCGGCATCTCCTTCATCTGGAACTGCTTCAGAACTAGTTTGACATTACTATGTAGCAGTGTTGAGCAGCATGTGGCCCATAGACTCCATCTAGCCCCCAAGGACATTTTTCAAGCTCCCCTGCTCCCCACAAACAACCAAATGTTGGCAGCAAATTACACTACTCTATTCCAGCCACGAACCACCGAACACCCTTTCGAATCAGCAGAAAATGCTTGCTTTAGAGAGGTTTTCGCGGTTGGTTGCTGAAATGCAAGTTTTCAAATCCCTTCAGATGAAGGATTTCCTTTCTAGTTTTCTAGTTTACTGTCACACTTTAGAGCACAGTCGTGTGGGAAGGGGGGTCCCAGGAGGCTAAAAATTGTTGGAAACTAGGATTAAGACCAAAAAGGGAACACTTCTTATTATCTAAAAGGGAACACTTTTTATTATCTAACACTGAACTTTTTCTGAGTTGAGTGGGGGTAGCTTCTAATGCTATGTCTGCAGCCCTCTCAGACCCAAAATGGAGGAACAAGGAAGTCACCTCAGAAAAGGAAAAGGAAGCTTAAGAGTACAGATCTAAACATCAATCTAGAAAATCGAAGAGGAGAAAAACAGACCTGTTTGCCTACTGCCTGCCCGCTGGTGTGGATAACTTGCTATGTGCTTTTTCTGCTCTTGTTGCAACAATTATGTCCACTTAGAGCAGAAACAATTCAGGAAAAAGGCAAAGTTCTTGATCAAGCCATTTGGCCATAGAACCGTCCTGCATCCTTCCCCTCTCTTTTCCACAGACGGAGGCTGTTGAATGGCTGAACTAAGGAGAAGCAAGCACAGATGCAACTGACATCTCAAAGGCAGATGGCGGCCTACTCTTTTTTTGCTATCTCTTAGAAACATAGAAAGCTGTCCCTTTTTGTTGTTGTTTAGCCATTAAGTCATGTCTGACTCTTTGTGACTCCATGGACCAGAGCACGCCAGGCCCTCCTGTCTTCCACTGCCTCGTGGAGTTTGGACAAATTCATCTTGGTCGCTTCGATGACACCGTCCAACCATCTCATCCTCTGTCGTTCCCTTCTCCTCTTACCCTCCCACTTTCCCAGCATCAGGGTCTTTTCCAGGGAGTCTTCTCATGAGATGGCCAAAGTACTGGAGCCTCAGCTTCAGGATCTGTCCTTCCAGAGAAGACTCAGGGTTGATTTCCTTCAAAATGGATAGGTTTGTACTCTTTGCAGTCCAGGGGACTCTCAAGAGTTTCCTCCAGCACCACAATTCAAAAGCATCAATTATTTGGCGGTCAGCCTTCTTCATGGTCCAGCTCTCACTTCCATACATCGCTACTGGGAAAAACCATAGCTTTGACTATGTGAACCTTTGTCGGCAAGGTGATGTCTCTGATTTTGAAGATGCTGTCTAGAAGCTGTCCCTACACTGAGTCAAACCACTAGTCCATCTAGACCAGTATTTTCCAACCTTGGATTCCTGGACATTCTTGGACTAAAACTCCCAGAAGCTTTCACCATTAACTATACTGGCCAGGATTTCTGGGGGTTGTAGTCCAAGAACATCTGGGCACTCCAGGTTGGGAACCACAGATCTAGATTGTCATTATCACCTCTGATGTGCAGCAGTTTCCTGGAGTTTCAAGCAAGGTCCTTCCTTTGCCCTACCTGTAGATTCATGGTGTTCCCTAAGGTCTCCCATCCAAGTGCTAACCAAGACTGACCCTGCTTAGCTTCCAAAATAAGATGAGGTCAGGTGCATTCAGAGTTAAAGAAGATAAAATAGATTCTCACATTTGATAGAATACCAGAGTGGTATGAGTATGTATCAGGCTCTCCAGTGATGACACATTTTAAAGTTTCTAGAGCTGCTTTCTCAAGAAAGGAGACCTTGTGTAGGCAATAGGCTGACTATATTTAGCTAACTATCGGGGAGTAGAAATTTCACAGAACAATTACTTGGTTGTCATTAAGTCTGAAATGTTTCATGTGTCAGGTGTTGCATTGTTCTCTTGAGCTTTTTGCTTTTCTTTTTAAACACAGTGTTGAAACAAGGACTGATGATCCGTTGTGAGGTCTGCAAAGCGTTGGAGCCTGCTTCAAGCAAATGAAAAACAAAGTGA